AACTTTTGATCCTTTGATATTAAAATATTAGCCGTCTCTCCAATGACATACACACACATCCCGCCACCGTCCAAAAAACCCGGGCTACTTGTTCTTCTCCATGTTTTTCAATCCCATCTCATACTTTTTGATGTCGGGAGGAGGAGGACCAGCAAGCAATCATTTGGCTAATGTAGAAATGACAGGATCCTTTCATTCCGTCGCCCAAATGAGCTCATGTGTCACAAAAAGGCTCTAACAGATTAATTTGCTCAGGGAAATGATGTCACATTGCCTGGAAAACAAATCATTTGCAAGCTTTATATAGCCACCTCACTGTCTCCAGGGGCAGTTCAAGAAGACGGGGAGGTCATGCAGTTTCTAGTTTTCTCGGGGCTTCAGTCTCACACTGCACAGTCCAGGAAATTCTGAGGCAGAGCTCAGGAATGCCCAGTCTGCACACACTGCTTTTTCCAGGTTAAAGGGGGCTTGAGGGCTGGGAGCTGACCCTCGCTTTGGGATGGGAAAATGTGTCAATTTCAGTTTGTCTCCCTTTTTTATTTTTCCAATCTTAAGTTCAGTCCTCATGTCCACGAGTTTGTGATCTCTTTGTTTTAAAAAAATGCCCTCATTAAAATCCATCAGCATTTAAGCACTAATTTCTCCTAGCGTGCACATTTTTGTATGAAATTTTGCATAATAAACACCTCTTTTTTGCAGTCATTTTCCTTAATGTAATGCAGTTTTGCCTGTTGATTTCACTCATGCTTTAATGCACACTTTACCCTAGTTGATGCATGCTTGTGCCCATTACTTGGCTGGAGAATGGCACTGCAAAAACAACAATAAAATTTATTATTATTATTAGTATTAGTAGTAGTAATAATAATAATATTTTTTTATTTATACACCGTCCTCCCCAGCCAAGGCCAGGCTCAGGGCGGCTAACAAGCAATAATAAAAATAAGTTGAATGAATACAACTTAAAAACAAGATTAAAATACAACATTAAAACATTAAAATACAGCCTCATCACAGGAGGAGAAAGGAAAAAAGAAAGAGGGGGAGGGAATCAAATTGACTCCAAGCCAAAGGCCAGGTGGAACAACTCTGTCTTACAGGCCCTGCGGAAAGAGATCAGATCCTGCAGGGCCCTGGTCTCATGAGGCAGAGCATTCCACCAGGAAGGAGCCAGTGTTGAGAAGGCCCTGGCTCTGGTTGAGGCTAATCTAACTTCCTTAGGGCCCGGGACCTCTAGGGTGTTGCTATATACGGACCCTTAAGGTCCTCCGTGGGGCATACCAGGAGAGGCGGTCCCGTAGGTACAAGGGTCCTAGGCCATGAAGGGCTTTAAAAGTTAAAACCAGCACCTTAAATCTGACCCTGTACTCCACCGGGAGCCAGTGCAGCTGGAAAAGCACTGGGTGAATATGCTCCCATGGCAGAGACCCTGTGAGGAGCCTCGCCGCAGCATTCTGCACCCGCTGGAGTTTCTGGGACAGCTTCAAGGGAAGCCCCATGTAGAGCGAATTACAGTAGTCAAGCCTGGAGGTGACTGTCGCATGGATCACTGTAGTACCCTGCCCATCTGACTGTGTTGCCCCAGCTACTTTGGGTAACTCCCAACAGGTGGCTCAGTTTCCAGAGAGGGAGTTGCTCTCATGGGAACTCTCATGGGAGTTGCTCTCATGGGAACTTTATAAGGTTAGTCAAAACAGTTAGATTTTTATATATCCATAAAAAACCAAACCCGTGGACTGTATAAGAAGATGCTCTGAATAATCAGGGTTTTTAATTTAAAAAAAAATCAATTTAAAGGCGCAACATTTGATTAATCTAACCAATAAATTGGTTAAAATCTGTTTTAGCATCTCCCAAGCTAAAATATAGCTGTGGGGGAAGGGAAATAATGAGGAATGGAAATATATTGCCCCCCAAACCCCCCTTCTGTTTGGGTATCTATAAAACCCAGAGCTCCCTTTGCATTTGGGTGCTATTAATATACATTAACTTCTAGAGAGATGGGAAGTTTTTGGCTTTTTCACCACAATGGGCGCCTTGATGTAATCAAGCTGCATTTCCTGTATATTTTTCACCCAAGGAATGGAGATTAAGAATAAACAAACATTAGCAAAAAGTCAGGCTGGGTCAGAAGGCACTTTGACATTTTGAGAACAAAGAAACAAGCATCTCCATGGTGTATTTTAAACCCCCCCCCTCCCCAAGAAAGGATTTAATTTCAGAGGTCTATGGAATGGCATAAAAATAAATAAAAGAAAATGTTTCAGAGGAATAGGCTAAAATGTTTGACACTTTGCAAGATATACGTTTAAACATACTTCTTCTGCTATCTTCCAGAATGCTTCCTCCAAATGTCAAAGGGATGGAAAGTTTACAAACCACTGGGGAATTAAAACATTTTTTTTAAAAATCGCTATTTTAGTTTTCTTCTCCAGCACAGTTGGTGGGAAAAAGACATATTGAAGCACATTCCACCTGGGAACATTTTCCCTGCACCAGAGACACCCAAATTATGGAGAATTGTGGTGAGTGCACTGGGATGTCCCTTTTATTCTTCTCAAATGAAACTTGGACAGGAAAAGATATGGCAGATTGAAACCATATCTACTACAGTGGTGCCTCGCAAGACGAAAATAATCCGTTCCGCGAGTCTCTTCGTCTAGCGGTTTTTTCGTCTTGCGAAGCAACCCTATTAGCGGCTATTAAAGGCTTAGAGGCTTAGCAGCTAAAAGGCAATTAGCGGCTTAGAAAAAGGGGGGGAAAGCGAAAAAAATCACAAGACTCGCAAGACGTTTTCGTCTTGCGAAGCAAGCCCATAGGGAAAATCATCTTGCGAAGCAGCTCAAAAACGGAAAACCCTTTCGTCTAGCGGGTTTTTCGTCTTGCGAGGCATTCGTCTTGCGGGGCACCACTGTATAGAGTTTGGAAAGTCTATCATCTCTTCACTGTGCATTTTGTATACCTCTGAAGGTATTGATGGCAAATTTTGCAGCCCTGGTCTGCTGCAAAAGGTATTTGCCATCACCGTGTCCATTTACCCGGCGTCATGAACTGGCAGGATAATGGGGAGGAAGATTCTGGCGAGGGGTGTAACTGGGACTGGGACACTGGAGCAAGCTGGGGTTTGGGAGAGGTTGGTGTTGGAAGTATTTACAGGGTGACGGAGGATGACGAGGGGCTGGGGGCCAGTACACAGGAACCAGAGCACCAGGCCCCATCGCCAGAGGGGTCCCTGTCTTCATGATCATGACAGGCTCTGGGGTAAAGGGAGCAGCAGGTGAGCCAAGGGCCCACAACCCAGTTCCTTAGCTGGCCAGGTGGGAATCACTAGCTCTGTGATTCCTCAGCTAGAATAGGCTCAAAACAGGAGAAGGTCACATGTCTCCTCCACAACAGTTTAACAAGAAGGTACAGCAACTTGGGCTGTCAGTGGAACTTTTGCCATCGATGTCCCTACCATCTGTCAAGGCTATAATAAAAACTAGGTTGTGGGATATTGAACGCCGAGAACTAACAGTAGCAGCAGAGAAAACATGTTCCCCTCTTTATTTCCAACTTTCTTGGGCACATGAAACTAACCACATTTACCTTGAATTTCTGCTTAACCCTCAAGAAAGAAGGGCATTTTCGCTGGCCAGGTTTAATTCAAATCCATCAAATCTCTGCCAGCAATTTCTAGATCAACTCTATCCCCAAATGGAAACCAGAGTCGGAAGTCATACATTTTCTATTACTGGGGAATGATCAGGAGCCCACGATGTTAGTGGCTAAATATCTCTATTTGGTTTTTTTCGTCGTCAAAATACACTGCAGACATCTGATCTCCCTGGAGACCCAGAGATGTGACGATAGACTGCTCTGCCTCCTTTCTTTTAGCAAATGTTTTGTAGCACTGGGGAAGTGGAAATTCTGTACTGATTTGTTTTGGATGTTTGTATGTAATGCCAATAAAAGATTTGATGATGATGATGATGTCTCCTCAAGCCCAGATGCTGCAATCAGAATGCAAAGTAGAAAAGGCAGCAGAGCTGAGGCATTGTGTCTGCTCAACTGCCCATGTTGATAGGCCTTGACTTGGACGTCCCTGGACCTCCCCAGGGCTGTGCTTTGGGTTTGACTTTGGATTGTATCCTGACTGCTGGACTTTGCTACTTGGATTGGCCCTGAACCTCCTTTCCTGACCCTCACAGGCGTTGGGTTTTGGACTTCACTTGTGCGGATCGACCCTCAAACTTTGAACCAGGCATACTGACTTGCTGCCAGGTAGACCAGGGGTTCAGAACACCTGGAGATAACAGGGTTTGACCTATAATAATAATAATTTATCATTTATACCCCACCCATCTGGCTGGGTTCCCCCAGCCACTCTGGGCGGCTCCCAATAGAATATAAAAAACACGATGTCTGGGTGTTAAAACATTAAAAACTTCCCTAAACAGGGCTGCCTTCAGATGTCTTCCAAAAGTCAGATAGTTGTTTATTTCCTTGACATCTGGTGGGAGGGCATTCCACAGGGCGGGCGCCACCACCGAGAAGGCCCTTTGCCTGGTTCCCTGTAACCTCACTTCTCGCAGGGAGGAAACCGCCAGAAGGCCCTCAGAGCTGGACCTCAGTGTCTGGGCTGAACGATGGGGGCACTTTGAGTCTGTTGCTTTTGGTTTTACTACTAAACCAGGGCTTTGAGGATCACTGTCCCAACTCCAGTTACTTCAGCTACGGTCACAGTACAAGTTATATGACCCATGTCATTTCGCTTGACGGCTCTCCAATGAGACCTTTGATAAAAACTTATTTTAATTAACATAAAATTGAACAATATTTCAACATACACATCTATCCTTACAGTGCAATAAAAATGTATCCTCATTGTACGGCGTTTTGCATTATGAAAATAAAATGCGTAACGAGTATGAATCATGTAAATCTGTAATGCATCTAAAGTTGGCTTTGGCTTTTAAAGTCTTTATAAATTCATAGAAAATATTGAACATCTAACAAAATAAATAAAACATATTTTAATCAAAGATGTCTAACGATCAGCTTCAAAAGATTTGCAGGTTGGGTGGGTTTGTTTGTTTACATTTGCTACTAAACTCATTTTAAAGAGACCTGGCTCTCAGTAGTGCTCAGAAGTGAATGATTGCGCCTTCTGCAATGCAAAAAAATAGAGCTATGTCCATTTTTCAGAAGTTTCCCCCCCTCCCAAAATCCTTCATAAAGGGTTTGCATGTCAAATATTGTTCAATGTAACTGGGGTTTTTTTCTTCCTTTAAGTGCTCATTAAAAAGTATCCTCATAACTGTTGAGACATTACCACCGATGGAGACATTCGCCTTCACTTGTAGATCCGATTAATGTGTTAAAATTGTCTCTTTTATGAGGAGGAGGCTATCTTCAAGCTTTGGAAATCTGGCATGAAGAGAATGCCAAAAATGTGAGACAAAACCAAAAAAAGGTTCGCTTTCAAACCCTCTTCAGTACAGACATCGCAGCAGTCCAGTGTAATTCAACTTGAAAGGCTCACTCAACACAGAGTCCCTAGGTGGGAGGTTGCCAAGAGTCCACTGCTGACCTCAAGACATTCTTAGAACGCTCAAGTTCTCCGAAGCTGTGTACAGGAAGGCCTTGCTGTAATACTGAAGAGACCAAAACAAATCCGAAAATGCATTCTCAAATGCAAGTTTGTAGGAACGCCTCCGGATGGGCAATGTTCACACCACCAAGAGGCCCGGTTGCTATTCGGGGGGCGGTCGGAGGGTCCGTAGCTTCCTGTCATCCAGCCCCTTCCAGTATTTGAAGTTGTTGTCTAGATGCTGCATCAGATTTGGAAGATCTGCAAAGGCTGGAGGAGAAAGGAAACAAAGTGCTTACGTTCCTGCGGAATAAGACAGATGGGGAAGGTGTCCAGTGGCTCTGAACATTGCATGCTAGAGGCCTGTTCTTTGGGTTCAATTAATTTGCAGGTTTTCAACACAGTCTTGTTATTCTAAGCAAATCTTAATAGTATTCTGGATTGCCTACTGAGCAGCTGTCAAGAGGATAAGAGGTTACCCCACCCTGGAAGAATGGCAGATGAAGGTGATGGACTATATGGAACTGGCGGAAATAACCGGCAGAATCCGAGACCAGGGAGAAGAGTCGGTGGAAGAAGATTGGAAGAAATTTAAAGACTATCTACAGAAATACTGCAAAATTAATGAATGTTAGAATGACGTTGGATTGAAGTTAAGTGGTTTTCAGCAGTAATGTTATAAAGATGTGCAAAAATGGATTGTTAACAGGTGATAATCTAAAGTTATAATATATTAAGATTAAAGATTAGGATAAAAACAAAGAGGGAAAGGATTTGCTGAACCAACTAATTGGAATACAAAAAAGGGAGGTGTGAGGAGGTCTGGGGAACAAGCAAATGAAAGATAAGATACGGAAAGATTGAATTGTTTTTAACTGTTTTTACTTTGTATTTTTTCTTTTTCTTTTTTCTTTTTGTAACATTTTGAAAACTTTAATAAATATCTTTTTTTTAAAAAAAAGAGGATAAGAGGTTACTTACCATCCCAAGCGTCAAACATGTCGGTGATGAAATAATCAATGAAGGATATTTGAGATTTGGGGATGCTACAAGTATTCCGGTCAAAAACAGGCATCACAACAGGCAACCCTTGTCTTTTCTCATCATCTGTCTGAAAAACACCCCCCCCCCAAAAAAAAGAAACCCATTGTTATGACTGTTTTGTCTGTTATTGTTAATGAGCTCTCAACTTTTTATTATTTATTTATTTATTTATGTGAGCATTTATAAGATGTTCTCTTGGCTAAAGAAATAAGCACCTGAAGCGGTATACCGAAGCATATGAAAAATCAAGATTATTGCATAATCTTAGAAAGTTGCAGAATCTTAAGATGGGTTGTGGTTGTGACCTGGTCTGAGAGTACACATAGATTGACTACTTTCATTTGGGGGTGATTTCAGAACATGGAGGATATTATACTGAGCTAGGGTCAGAAATGAAGGGGGAGAAAAACACATCCACCTCCACATACCCTTGTCCTCCTATGAAAATCATGTATTGTGCATCAACATTCATTCATTCATTCAATTTCTATGCCACTCACACGTGTCACAAAGAGGCTTTCATACAATAAATAATAACAGAGTAGAACATCACAATTGCAACACAAATTATATAAAACAATTAACAAATCATCCATAAAACAACCACCTTATATAGAGCACTATTAACCAAACAACTTAAAAATGGATTAAACAGCACAGCCACAAGAAAAGCCGTGTTATAAAGTTATTATAAAATTCACAAAGCATTACAGCACTCCTAATCCACAAAACGATATTGAAATTAACAAACTAACAACCAAAAACAAACTAAGCACTGTTGAATTGTCTCTCTCTCTCTTTTTCTCAGCTGAAATTTCTCCAGCTGGCCGTATCTCACCCACCTGTGCAAAATATTCCTCAGAGATGCGGCCTGCCCACTCGACACACTGCTCCAGGGGCCGACATGGGTTGGAAACATCAGCACACTTAATTAGCATGCGCTTGATCAGGATCCGGTTTTCGGGAGACGTGAGGACGGTTTTGATGGAATCGCTATCTCCGTTTGCACCCTTATCGAAAAGTTGACAAAAATGTACCATCAGCATCTGTGCAGGAACTTCAAAGGCATCACGTATAAACAAAGAATCTTGTGGGAACCTTAAACATGAACAGATTCATAGCGGCTTTAAAGGATCAAAGTTTGCTTCGGATGCATGAACACATTTTCACACACATGAGCATTGAGGGACGGGGAGAGGAAAGGAACCTGCATGAACAGTAGGCTCAAGACGTCATGAAACTTTCAGAGAAGTTTTCAACGTTTTATGTATTATGTTTTAATTTGTTGGACGCCACCCAGAGCGGCTGGGGCAACCCAGTCTGATGGGTGGCGTATAAACTATTATTATTAGTTTTAATTTACTTATTTTACAAGCTTGATATACTGCTTGATTGTAATAAAGGTAAAAAGGTAAAGCACCCCAGGACGGTTAAGTCCAGTCAAAGGCGACTATGGGGTTGCGGCGCTCATCTCGCTTTCAGGCCGAGGGAGCCGGCGTTTGTCCACAGACAGCTTTCCGGGTGTGGCCAGCATGACTGAACCACTTCTGGTGCAACGGAACACCATGGCGGAAACCAGAGCGTACGGAAACGCCATTTACCTTCCCGTTGCTGCAGTGCCTATTTATCTACTTGCACTGGTGTGCTTTTGAACTGCTAGGTTGGCAGGAGCTGGCACAGAGCAACGGGAGCTCACCCCATTGTGGGGATTTGAACTGCCAACCTTCTGACCGGCAAGCCCAAGAGGCTCACTGGTTTAGACCACAGCGCCACCTGCATCCTTTGATTGTAATAAAACTCATGGTGGCTTAGATAATAAAATAGTCAGTAGAAAACAACTATCTGAAACATTAAAAAAGTAAAAACATATGTTAAGAGTTATGTCAATCACTGTCAATCAAACATCTACCCTCCCCCGATCATCCAAACTTCATTTGTCAACTACTTCCCCCCCCATATTTTCCCTCCCCTTTCATAAATTCAAATGGTTAAAGGATGGCTTTCACCCCATCTCTTGTCCATGAAAGCTGATGGGGGGAAAGTGTGATTTCAAATGAAGCCAATGAGTATGGAATTAGGAAAGGCAGCTGTTTTGGGCCAATTTAGCCACCGAAAAAGGCTTTGATCCTGCATGGAAGAGCCCAGCCATTCAGCCTGGAGTCCAGAGTCTGGCCCTCTGTGCGGCATTGCCATTTGATCAAGTTTCCAAATGGCGCTTCAATGGGACCCCCATTGTTCATCAAGGACTGACTGCTGAGATGACCAAAGGAACTGGGGCTTCAGTTCTCGTTGCGCTGACTTCAAAATACTTGGGCCTGATCCAACTTTTCGCTGAATGAATAGAGAGATTTCAAGGGAAGCTCAAAGGAGCCCTTTGTGAAGAAGCTAAAAACAGCCACCTCCTGCACAGTTGTGTACAAAGGACAGCAGACTCAGAGGAAGCCTCCAACCCACAATGTAAAAGTAAACACATTAAGGGACGAGCAGAGTAGCCGGGGACCTCAGTTTCCAGCTTTTTCGTCCTTTAGTAGCATAGATGTCCTTTTTAACTGCAAGGAGAAAGTGCTTTCCTTTGGTGGCGGGTGCACGGTGTTTGTGTGTGTGAGTTGTCAAACCACAACAAAACCAACCCATCGGAACTGGCAAGTTATTTGTTGGGAGGTGCCAAATCTCTGCTCTCAAAATCCCGAAACTCTTCCTCTCAACCGCTTTGCAAGGAAGACAGATGGAGGTGTGAATAAATGAAAAGGGCAACTGCAAAGCGAGGAGAGACCTAAAACGGCACTTATAAGAGAATGTGGTACAGAAAAGAAAATAAGACTTAAAAAAAAAAAAAGGCATGAAAAACCCAGCAGCAAATGTGATTTATTTGCCCTTATCCAACGGCTGCGTCGTACCCTTTTAAAATGTGTGCATACAAAAAAATGTTTTATATATGGAGGAAAGGTGAAACTTACGGCTCTCTCTAAAGGACAAGAGGCAACATGATGGAAGTGTGCAAAAATTATTCACGGCCCTGGAGGAAGAGAAGTTTTTCCCCCTCTCCCATGATACTAGAATTCAGGGATGTCCACTGAAGCTGAATGTTGGAAAATTCAGGGGACATAAAATAAAGCACTTCTTTATAGGGTGCTTAGTTAAAACGATGAAATTACTGGTAGCCACCGACTTGGATGGCTTTAAAAGAGGGTTAGGCAGATTCATGGAGGAATAAGGCCATCGCTGGAGCTGTGGACTAAACCTCTAAGCCTCTTGGGCTTGCCGATCGGAAGGTCAGCGGTTCGAATTCCCACAACAGGGTGAGCTCCCGTTGCTCTGTCCGAGCTCCTGCCAACCTAGCAGTTCGAAAGCACACCAGCGCAAGTAGATAAATAGGTACCACTGTGGCGGGAAAGCAAACGGCATTTCTGTGTGCTCTAGTTTCCATCACAGTGTTCTGTTGCGCCAGAAGCAGTTTAGTCCTGCTAGCCACATGATCCAGAAAGCTGCCTGTGGACAAACGCCGTCTCCCTTGGCCTGAAAGCGAGATGAGCGCCACAACCCCATAGTCGCCTTTGACTGGACTTAACCATCCTTGGGTCCTTTACCTACTAACCACAATGGCTATACTCCATCTCCACTGGCAGAGTATGCCTCTGAATCCCAGTTGTTGGGAATCTCAAAGAGAGGAAAAGCTGTTGTACTCAAGTTGTGCATCTGAGGCATCTGCCTGACCCCTGGGAGTAGAGGACGCCAGACCAGATGGGCCACCCAGCAGCCCCTTCTTTCTTAGGGAAAAGATCTCTTCTTACCAACAGGCTAGCTTTCCACAAGCTAATACATGGCCATTTAGATAAGGGCCATTCACAAACCTCCTTCCAGGGTGCTGGACTAGATGGGTCATTCAGCGGCAGTGTCCTTTTGCTCTCATGCCAAGAAGGGTGGGACAGGGGCGAAGCAATGGTGGGGGCATAACCCTGTGGGCATGGTTTTGAGTGGGGCGCAAACTACCTTCATTCTAGGATGCAGTAAAGTCCCCTGGAAACTGTACCAGTTTCTCTCTCTCTCTCTCTCTCTCTCTCTCTCTCTCTCTCTTAAAAAACAACATTTGTTTTGCATAATAATACAGTGGTACCTCGGGTTAAGTACTTAATTCGTTCTGGAGGTCCGTTCTTAACCTGAAACTGTTCTTAACCTGAAGCACCACTTTAGCTAATGGGGCCTCCTGCTGCAGCTGCACCGCCGCTGCACGATTTCTGTTCTCATCCTGAAGCAAAGTTCTTAACCCGAGGTACTATTTCTGGGTTAGTGGAGTCTGTAACCTGAAGCGTATGTAACCCGAGGTACCACTGTAGTAGTAGTAGTAGTAGTAGTAGTAGTAGTAGTAGTAGTAATAATAATAATAATAATAATAATAATAATACACTGGCTCCTTGGCTAGAAATATGGAAAATCCTGAAAGATGTATAGGAGAAAGGATTTGCCTAGATGTCATTCTGCTCCTCAGGAAGCAGCGTGAAATTTGCAGGCCAATTAGCTCCCAAATTAAGTAATAAATTAACATCCACTTGCAGCTTTCGCATCTCCTTGCCTTCCCCGGAGAGCCTCTTACCCCGTTCTCTTCAAGCGCTGCCAGCGGCTTGTTGATGCTGTTGACAAACTTGTTGACGTGCTCAAAGTGCTTGGTCATTTCTGTGGCCAGGACCATGTCGATAATGGCCTGCCGGAGGGTTCGGTATTCATTCCTGCGTAAAGAAGGGACGTGTGGGATATGCATGGGCTCAAGGCCATCTTGTCTAGATTCTGACTGAAAAGGTTTCTGATTGGAAACTTGGGAACAATCCGAACAACATGCAGAGCTTTATAGTTTACTAGAGCTGTCAACCAATTAAAAAAATTTATCAGTCTGTTAATCCTTTGCATTTTGAACCACTTAACCAACTGATTTGACTTTAAAAGGAACTGCATTCTCACTAATTCTCCGGATAGTTTTTATTTTTAAACCCTATTTCAACAACAGAACCAAAATAAGACTCAGAACAACAGCACCAGTAATTCAAATTCAAATGCTCCTGAAATTGACCCCTTTTGATCCATCCACTAGAATTTTAGTGGATGACTCGAAAACTATAAAGTAAGTTGATAAATCTAAAACTAAATTTTGCTGCTTAAATGTGCAGGCTATCAATGAAGGAGACTTCTCAAGGCTATAGTACAGTGGTACCTCGGGTTAAATACTTAATTCGTTCCGGAGGTCCGTACTTAACCTGAAACTCTTCTTAACCTGAAGCACCACTTTAGCTAATGGGGCCTCCTGCTGCTGCTGCGCCGCCAGAGCATGATTTCTGTTCTCATCCTGAAGCAAAGTTCTTAACCTGAAGCACTATTTCTGGTTTAGTGGAGTCTGTAACCTGAAGCGTCTGTAACCTGAAGCGTATGTAACCCGAGGTACCACTGTACTCCAGAATGCAGGTGGGGAATATGTGTGAATGCCTCTCTCACCATATCAAAATTTCCTTGCATGTGGGAAGTTAGCACATGGGGAGAACCCTTTTCCTGATGTTCTAGCTTTCCACATGCAAGCAAGGGTGGCAGTGTTTTTCACTGGGCGGCAGTTCAAATATGTGATCCTCCCCTTCATTAGGGAGTGGCATAGCCCCTAAAGGTCTGTACCCAAGTCCTTTTTCCAGACCATCTGAATCAGCCCTTAGGTTTATAAGATCTTAGGGAGCTGTTTCCCAATCCTTCCTACTAGATCTCCAATATGTTTATCACCCTCCAATGCCGGTTTTTGTCTGGTGCGTTGCCTTGCCGTTTCCTTTTCGAAAACATCACTTCAAGGTATGTAGAGACTCTAGCCTAAGCATGGCAGATCCCCCGTTTTGAAAACTCACCTCTCCATGTTTTTAAAAATATTGCATTTATCGTCCCGTGTGGTGATCTGGAAGGCCAAGGCGGCATGATGGCTCTCCAACACTGCTGTGTCGTTGTACAAAATGGCCAGCTCACTTCCTGCATTGCACAGGAAGGAATTTGTTCGGCCTGGATGATCCACGTCATGAACAGTGGCAGCAATCAGAGCAGCAACTTCATCAATGGGATCCAAGGTTTGCTGTGGGGGGGGGGGAGACAAAGATGAGAAGGATGTTTAGTAAGGTTCCCAAGAGACCACTGGGCTTATCCTGCATCTAGAATGAATGTGTCTACTTTTATGTCACACACTCCCAGCGTGCAGAAAGCTAAGTCGTAAGGGAAGTGCTTACTTCTAACTGACTTAGCCTTTCCACACAAGGCTGTTTAGAAGAGATTTAGTCATTGCTTCCCCCCCAAAATCCTAGAAACTTTAATTTGCTAAGGGTGCTGAGAGTTATCAGAAGACCCCTTTCCGCCCTCACAGAGCTACGGTTCCTAAAGTTCTCTGGGAAGAGGGGCTGATTGCTAAACCACTCTGAGAAATGTAGCTCTCAGACCTTCCACCTGTCCCTATTTTCCAGGGACAGTCCAGGATTTATAGAAGCTGTCCCAGTTTCTGAATTGATCCCAGAATGTCCCACTTTTCTTTAAAAAGGTAAAGGGACCCCTGACCATTAGGTCCAGTTGTGGCCGACTCTGGGGTTGCGGTGCTCATCTTGCTTTACTGGCCGAGGGAGCCGGCGTACAGCTTCTGGGTCATGTGGCCAGCATGACTGAGCCGCTTCTGGCGAACCAGAGCAGCACATGGAAATGCCGTTTACCTTCCCGCCGGAGCGGTACCTACAGTGGTACCTCAGGTTACTTAATTTGTTCCGATTCGAACCGCCGAACTTCTGATCGGCAAGCCCTAGGCTCTGTGGTTTAACCCACAGCGCCACCCGCATCCCTGCCCATGAGCTAGGATGGCATTAAAAGAGATTTGGACAAATTGATGGAAGATAGGGCTGTTTGTGGCTCCTATCTGCATAGCTATGCTCTTCCTCCACTGTCAGAGGCAGTATTCCTCTGTCTGCCTGTTGGTGGAAACCACAAGAGGGGAGAGTGCTCATGTGCCCAGTTCCTGCTTGCAGGTTTCCCATAGGCATCCTAGGGGTTGCTGTGAGGACAGATTGCTGGATTAGATGGGCCAATAGCCTCCTCCAACATCCTCCTCTGGTGTTCTTACAGTGTCAAAACCATGTCAAAAGCTATAATAAAGGCAGCATTTTTTCATCTCCGCCAAGCTAAGCAGTTGGCTCCTTACCTCTCTCACCCTGACCTAGCCACTGTGATCCACGTGACGGTCACCTCCAGACCTGACTATTATAACTCGCTCTACCTGGGGCTGCCCTTGAGACTGACCCAGAAACTCCAGCGGGTGCTGAATGCCGCAGCAAGACTCCTTATGGGGTCCTCGCCACGGGATCACATTCACCCGGTGCTATACTAGCTGCACTGGCTCCTGGTGGAGGATCACGTCTAAGGTGCTGGTTTACCTTTAAAGCCCTATACGGCCTAGGACCCTCGTACCTATGGGACTGCTTCTCCTAGTATGTCCCGCGGAGGACCTTACGGTCTTCAAATAAAAATATTTTGGAGGTCCTGGACCGCAGAGAGGTTAGGCTGGCCTCAACCAGAGCCAGGGCTTTTTTGGCTGTGGCCCCGATCTGGTGGAACGCTCTGTCACAAGAGACTAGGGCCCTGCAGGACTTGACATCCTTCCGCAGGGCCTGCAAGACAGAGCTGTTCCACCAGGCCTTTGGCCAAGGCACAGTCTGATCCCCTTCTTTGGTGATCCTCGTAGAACTCTGGCCCAGTGGTTGCCATTTGATTTTGAATTGATTTTAGAATATTGATTTTAGAATGCTGTGTTATTTTTATTGCTGTTAGCCGCTCTGAGCCCGGCTTTGGCTGGGGAGAGCAGGATATAAATAAAATATTATTATTATTATTATTATTATTAAACGCAAGCTGTCTAGTGTGCATGTGTGCATACGTATGTGAATTATGCAACACTGGGGCTTTGCATGTCAAAGTTGGTATCTCCTATCAGAAGAACCAAATAACAGATGATGGGGAGGCCCCTTCTCAGCCCGAGACCCTAGAGAGTCACTACCAGTCAATTCTGAGTTAGGTGGACAAACTGGTCTGGTCTGTTCTTGTAATGGACTGGCTGGGTGCAGAGCAGTGGAAGAAGGCACTAGCTGGGGAACCCCCCCCCCCCAGGGAAGAAGGCTTCAGGGACTGGTGGTAGGACCACAATGTGTTGTCCAAGGGAGAAGAGGGAGCAGCCTGGGAAGAGGAGGTGTCGGAAGCTGAAGATGCAACAGGTGAGCGGGAAGAAGCTGTGGCAGAGGGCAGCCCAGCCTCAGAGGCAGGTGAGGAGCGGGGCAAGGAGACAGAGATAAGACAGGCCGCTGAAGAGTCCAGGGAGTCTTCCCCTCTTGCTGCAACCAGCTCCTCTCCCTGCTGGTCTCCCAGAACGTGCAGAGCAGAGAAAACGAAGAGAACAGAGCAACAAGATACAAGACGAAGGAGTCTCAGGTTGCTGAGGAAGGACCTGGAAAAGGAGGAGTTTTACGAGAGTAGTGGGAAGGCAGTTCTCGCAACTGCCTCATTGGGGCAAGACCCACTGGGAAGGGTTGTTGTGACCACCAGGACTGAGCCGTTTTGTTTCTTTGAATAAGGAGTTAACTTCGCTGATATTGGATGCTTTATTGTTGACCTACACCGGACTCCAGCTTCTGATGGTTTCCTATCAGTGAAGGCTGGCACATCAGGGCAAGTGGGGTGCTGCCCCACCAACCTCAATCCGCTCCCCACACCTGCTTGTCTTCTGACTTACATCCAGCCCAGGGGGGTAGCTCTGCCTGTCAGCTGCCTTCTCCTTAAGGTTTCCTTTGTGGAAGTCGTGATGGAGGGGAAACTGGAATTATGTAGCTCTGCCTCCGTCTGTCTTTAGCTCTGCCTCCGCCTACGGGTGGGTTGCCTGCCTTCCGCCCCACCAGCCCCATAGGCACCAGCCACCACTGGTCCCCCCCCCTTCCTTCCACCTCTCTCCTGAGAAGCTGTCCTTACTTTAACCCTTTCCTTGGAAAGGAAATAGGCCGTGGCGTGCAGCACATCAGCAGAGTGAGTCGAGTTGTGGTAGGAGTTGGACGAATGATAGTTGGCTTCGATGACTTGCAGCCATGATCGCAGGGTCGACTCTGAGCAATTGAGGAACTCGCAGATCCGAAAGCGGGCAAACATTTTGAGACCAAGGTAAACTAAAGGCCTGAAGGGGTGGGGTGGGGTGGGGTGGGGAGAGAAACAGAAAGAAAGAAGTTCAACGAAATTGCCCTGAACGGAGGATCGCCGTCAACATTATCAGAATGGTAAAAGCTGGGGATGGTAACATAAAGAGAACCCTGCAGGATCAGGCTGATGGCCTGTCTACTCTCAAGGATCCTGTTCCCAAAGGGGCCAATGAGACACCTATGGGAAGCCTCAAAGCAGAATCTGAGCAAAAGAGCATTATTCCGACTTGTGATTCCCCAACAGCTGGTATTCAGGCTGTGAGAAGTGAAATCAGAACACGAGAGCAGCCTCTGTCCAGCTGTTGTCTAAAGGCAGAAATAGCCAGAGAAATATTGCTGTTCATGTACATTTTATTCAGACGTGGGGAATACTGTCTTAGTTTTCCTGACTGTAATATTAGGGCTTCCACCTTGTTTTCTCACATTCCTTACCCATTGCAGTACCTGTTCTGTTGCGGAACTGCAGCTTTTTGAATGAGATACCAGCATGATGCACTAAATTTCACTGATAGCAGTGGGTGCGCTGCAAAACAGCAATGGATGTCACTGGACAATGTCGCTATTCTCCTGAGCTTTCTGCACATGTGTGTTTCTGTTCCTCCATGAAAACAGCAGGAAAAAACTACATGCTGGTATAATGCCCCAAATTTCATCACTTTACTCCTGTAATTTTCCAGGTTGAGGGGGCTACAAATGGATTTTTTCTGGAATCCAGTGATATGGAAATGAGCGCTAAACACGCACTACATTTCACAAGTTTTCTAGAAGTGGCTTTTACATCATGTGAAAACTGAAATATAACGCAGACATGAACAGTTAGGGAGGTGTTGGAGAAATGGAATAAGTTGCTGCATGAATACAGTCTTAGTCTCAAAAATAATGCAACTATCTTGAAATAAAACTTCCATTGCGCTACGACTGGCAAAGGGCTTATAAATGAAACTTTAGGGTAGGCACTAACTACTAAGGTCCTGCAGGCTAAATCTGGCCTATAGGATGCTATCAGATAGCCCTGGGTCTGAGCTCCCATTAAGAAGAGTGAGATTGCCTGCCTCAAGTGGAAAATCTTAAACACCATAAAAAGTTTATTGTTGTATTCCTGCCACCAGGGTGAACTAGGGAGATGCCAGCTTGGATTTCTGCCTCAAGCACCAAAGCATCTTGGGCAGCCTCAGCCTTTGACAACATTTCCCTAGCACATTAAATTAAGCCAAGGCAGGAAGTGTCTATTCTGGATGGGAAGCAGAGGAAAAACAGGGTCTCAGCACAGCAAATGTCCTCCCCTTACTTTTTTGGGACTAGCTTGGCCAGGGTTTTAAAAGTCACATCGAGCATCACTTTTTTATGTTCCAGATTACTTATTTTCAGACTGCAACGCAGTTTAGAACAGTGTTTCCCACACTTGGGTCCCCAGCTGTTTTTGGACTACAATCCCCATCAATCCATGACCACTGGTCCTGCCAGCTAGGGATGATGGAAGTTGTAGTCCAAAAACAGCCGGAGACCCACATTTGGGAAACACTGTTCTCTTTGTTTTACTTGCTTGACAACAAACCTTTTATGGGTTGCTGCTTCCAATTCAAAGATGTTGAAGTCCCAGTATTCCTCGTTTTCCATTGCTTCTGCTATCCGTGGTGGTATGTCATTAAGGGAGATGGGCGAAATTAAACTGCCTGGGACTTGATGAGTTTCTACGGGAGAAAATAAGACAGTGGAAATTATAAAGCATGACCTGGCCTCTGGCATCAGCCTGGGGATCAAAGGCTGCACCTCCTACTTCCTATAAATAAATTAAAAAAACCCTGAGAGAAAGAGGAAGGCAAACCTGACCCCATCCATCAAAGAGAGAAGGCACATCTGCAGGGAACTCTGTTCCCTCTACCCTCCAACTGCTGGCTGTCTTCAGACCACAGAGTTGACAGGAAGCAACCTCTGTATCTGTCTGTCAGCCAGAAGAGCTCAGGACTGCAGTTTTCAGGGGCTGCCAACTATTTCTGGACCTCTGAGCACAATTGGTTTTTTGGAGTGAGTGTCGTGGGCTCCACCCCCTCTGAGAATTTCCCTCCTCCCCGCAACCCCATCCCTTCTACCCCGCCAAGAGACAGAAACAGATAGTGCGCACAAACCCCACTTTTCCAAGGGGTCTGGGTAAAAATCACATAAGAGTTGAAAGAGGAAGTGGGAAAGAGTGTCCCTCTTGCAACTTCCTTCTCTATGTATTTTTCGAGGGAGAAAGAGGAAGGGAGTGGAGATCGCAGAGCCCATGTGGGCAGCAGGGGAAGATTACAAGGCAGCCACAACATTCAGGGGCACCATGTTGGCAGCCCCTGGTGTATACTTTGTAAACGGATGATATTATGAAACCCTCAAAAATGGGCGCCTTTTAAGTTTTGTCTCCTATCTACAGATTGTGAGCCTGCAAATCACTTTTAATCTCAGCACAGGTGCTTCAGAAGTAATGAATGAATGAATAAAACCAATACAGATTTAACTGATAAAGCGTCCACAGGCTTTCTGGAATAAGCTCATTGTGTGCAACCACTTCCCTAATTGTTAGTTATAGCAGTAATTGCACAGTCATACCTCGAGTTGAATGTGCTTCAGGTTGAGCGCTTTGGGTTGCGCTCCGCGGCAATCCGGAAGTAACGGAGCGCGTTATTCTGGGTTTTCGCCGCTCAGCGCAGATGCTCAAAATGACGTCACGCGCATGCGCGGAAGCAGCAAAACGCGACCGTGCACGTGCCGTTGCGTCTTACGTTCCATTCAGGATGTGAACGGGGCTCCGGAAAGGATCCAGTTCGAATCCCGAGGTACCACTGTACAATAAACTTACACAAATTCTTTGTTTAAAATAATATTTGCTTGTATTTTATAAAAGTTTATAAAATGCATTTTATAAAAGTCACCATTTCTAGAACAGATAAAGAAAATGTATACTTTGCGATGAGAAGACTTACGTTTTGCTGATAATATATACTCATTCCCTGATAATCTTCGTAGGCCATCCTATTTAAGAAAGAGTTGAAAATAACAAATGGGGGGGGATTATTATATATAAATTTACTGTTCCAGATGCACAGGGGGAAGAAAGTGCTTGGAGTACTAGGTTATATTCCATCTTAGCCCTACTCAGAATAGATCCAATGAAATAAGTAGACATGACCTCAATTTTAATGGAGCTATTTTGTGTAAACCTTTGTCGGATGCAACCCATGGAGTGGAGCAGTCATTCTGGCTGAATTGGCCATATTTCACTGGTCCTAAAAGAGATATGCTCATCATCAGTTGATTTATGGGTACAATATAAGATGCTGGGGAGGGAGGAATTCGGTATAGCTGGCATTTAAAGCTGAATTTATGAGATCTGCACTTTCTGAAACAATATGAGAGCCGAACCACAGCCATCTTTCGAAATTCAGACTTATCCAGATTTTGCAAGGGAGTTCTCCAACCACACAATGTTTAGAAAAATGCATGTATTAGGGGAAAGTGTGCATAAAAAATGAACGTATTAGTGAAAAAGACATACAAAAATGCTTTACATTAGGAGAAATTGCTTGCAAAGACGCAGACACTAGTCAAAACTGCATACAAGAATGTGTCCATTAGGAGAATTTGTGCTAAAATGCTGAAGGCATGAGGATTTTTTTCAAAAAGTGGCTGCGGAATGTAGAGAACTAAATTGAAGACAGGGAAAAATGAGGAACCAAGAGAACCCAAGTGGTCAGATCCTTCCATCCCTAATGTTGAATTTAAGCTTTAAAGCTGCAAACAGGACTTAGCCATGCTTAGGTAAAGGTAAAGGACCCAAGGATGGTTAAGTCCAGTCAAAGGCGACTATGGGGTTGCAGCACTCATCTCGCTTTCAGGCCGAGGGAGCCGGTGTTCGTCCACAGACAGCTTTCCGTGTCATGTGGCCAGAAGGGCTAAACCACTTCTGGTGAAACAGAACACTGTGACGGAAACTAGAGTGCACAGAAATGATGTTTTCCCTTCCCGCCGCAGTGGTACCTATTTATCTACTTGCACTGGTGTACTTTCAAACTGCTAGGTTGGCAGGAGCTGGGACAGAGCAATGGGAGTTCACCCCGTCATGGGGATTCGAACCACCGACCTTCTGATCAGCAAGCCCAAGAGGCTCAGTGGTTTAGACCGCAGTGCTGCCATGCTTACTGAAATGACACCTTCTCCCCAGAGTCACACTGTGGCTCAAGGAGCTCGTCCCTTGTGCGAGATTCTTGACAGCGGGACTGGGCAAGGGATGAGGCAGCCTAGAAACTAGCACTGAGGTTTGAACCCCACCAGGTGAGTTGCTTTGCACTCCAGCCTACTGAAATCACTGGGGCTGAGATGAGTCGTGACTAACACAAGCCCCATCGATTTCAAAGGGACCTTAACGACAAGTGCACCCAACCTTCAGACTTCAAGCTGAGTGCAAAGGTAATACACTCAAGCTGCAGGAAGCTGCAGCTGGTCTGTGTCTGCATCTGGCTTCTATTTTAAGAACAATAAATCAATTAGTCTGGAGCTTTGTGACTTAAGAGGGGACAGCTGCCTGGCTCTTAACAGCTGCTTGACACTTCCTCCAAAAGCACATGACTGCAAAACAAAGCTCTTGTGCACCTTCCAGAATCAACAAGGGGGGTAGACTTGATCCACCACCATGAAAAACAGTTTCTTGAGCACTTTTTATCCATTAAAACACTTAACATGAATGCACTCCTCATTCACTGAAAGCCAGTCCTCTCTCTTATGAAGCCCTTGTTTCACTAGAGAAGCTTGCGAAATTCAATCTTAGCGCATTTTGGTGTGAGCTGACCTAATTCTTTGCACACACCCCAAACACCCCAAGACAGTGCAAGTTGGAACCAAAGCTGCAAACCCAGCCCCACTTACTTGGGAGAAAACCCTACTGAATTCAGTAGGTTTTACTTCTGAGTAGACATGCTTGACATTGTTACCCACCGGCTTTCATACTTCCCTAATCTTTGGACACAGTCCTCAGCTCAAATAACGTATCAAAACACATTTTAAAATGCATTTTTCCATAGAAAATCCATTAAGGAATGTGTATTTTATGAGAAGATGTGTTCAAAAACAAATCTTCAAATGCAACTTTACATGCATGTGTTTTTTTAAAAAAATAATATCAAAAATATCATGGATTAATGCAGAAACGGGACCCCACCAACTTACGTGTGGACACATTTGAAAAGAACCCATGCTAAAAAAATATTTATTCATTCGCTGTGGGTTAAAGCACAGAGCCTAGGACTTGCTGATCAGAAGGTCGGTGGTTCGAATCCCCACCACGGGGTGAGCTCCTGCCAACCTAGAAGTTTGAAAGCATGTCAAAGTACAAGTAGATAAATAGGTACCGCTCTGGCGGGAAGGTAAACAGCATTTCCGTGTGCTGCTCTGGTTCACCAGAAGCGGCTTAGTCATGCTGGCCACATGACCCGGAAGCTGCATGCCAGCTCCCTCGGCCAATAAAGTGAGATGAGCGCCGCAACCCCAGAATCGGCCACAACTGGACCTAATGGTCAGGGGGCCCTTTACCTTTACTAACAACCAAACAATAAAGGATACATCTGCATTAAAAACTGAAACCCCATTTCACACCAGCTTAACTGTCATTACCTCCCCCAGAGAATCCTGGATACTGTAGTTTTGTGAGGTTGCTGGGTAATCTCCCCTAACCACGACCCGCCAAGCCGCCTCCCCAAGGTTTCCTTGTGAGAAAGCCATGACAGTTAACCTGGTTAGGCTCTTCAGGATTGTTGGGCCTCACTGTCATGTGTTTTTTATCTGCCACGAATTTTATCTGTCATGACTGTCTTTGTTGAAGAAGTTCCAAAGGATTTCTGAGGCACCCCAGGGTTCCCCATAATATAGTGTTTTTTTAAAAAAATAAAAATACCATATCCCACCACACTGGCTCACTTAAGGTTCAGACAACATTAATCAAGAAGCAGATTCTACTTACTGTCATCAAACCTCCAACAAGGTCACTCGTATGTGGGTCTTCATCTTTCGTCCCAAGTTGTGGAGAATACAATTCAGTGGTCCTCAAGATCTCAAGAACTCGATCTAAGGCTTCAGCAACCGGCATGGGACTACTTTCTTGTGCAGCATTGATAATATTTATTACCTAGGTTGAAGGAAAGATTTCAACAAGCAATTCAAGAAGTCAGATTTGACTGTCAAAAGCACAGGAACATAGGAAGCTGTGTTAGAGTCAGAGACGATTGGTCATCTAGCTCCATATTGGCTGTAGTGACCTCATTGAGACGTAATGCTAAACTATGGTTTAGACAAGTATCCCTTCCCCAAAAAATGGAACCCTCTAGATGTTTTGGACTACAACTCCCATCAGCCCCAGTCAATATGGCCAATGGGCAGGGTTTATGAGAGCGGTAGTCCAAAATATATTGAGGTCATCACATTGGGGCATGCTGGTTTAGTTATTTGAATCAATCTCAAGTGTTTTTTGCTCTCCTCTGATTCACCCACAAGATCAGAAGCTTTCCCTTCCATTTTTAAATAACAGCAGTTTAGCGTTATGCCAAAACTCAGACAAAGTGTGTTTCATCTTAACGATTGTTTGCCGTAACTTCAAACTTTGGCTTTTGAAACTGACTTGTCTCATTAAACCAGTTAACCACATTGATCCCTGTTTGTATAAATATTACAGCCAAAGTCCTTGCTTGTGGTCAGAAAATATTAGCGGTCAGCACAGCAGAAAACTGAATTCTTACTAACTTGTGGTAACAAAAAATATAACTGCAAAAGTAGTTCATTTTGCACTTGTAATAGAAGACATGACTGTGTGGCTCATGTAGGCTTGCTCTTGTCTGTAGCGAAAAACCATGTGTCCTGGTCCTGGTCTTGGAGCTGGAGGAGAAGGAGGAGTAGTTCCAAGGCCATCCTTTGAATATCTGGATGAGGTACTTGGCTCTGAGGTTGGTGCTGATTATCAGGGTGCACTGAAGGCTGGCAGTGGCCCACTGAAGACCACGTTCAGGGTCTCCTAACACTAAGTATGCCCACAGCCCCCTTCCCCAGAGTCTAAGGAACTGTGTGTCTCCTACATTATGGCGCTGGTCCAATGGTGCAGGCAGCACACCAGGCTAGAGAGTAATAATAATAATAATAAATTTTATTTATATCCCGCCCTCCCCAGCCGAAGCCGGGCTCAGGGCGGCCAACAACAATAAAACAGTACAAAAGTACAACATAAACAACATTCTAAAATCATTCATTATAAAAATTAAGTAAGGGAGAAATGTCCACTTTCAGGCCAAAGGGTTGGCCTGAGCCTGCAGTTCTCCAACCAAGAGGACAGAGCATAAAAGAGATGGTTTGGAGACAGAGGCTCAAAAGGCCTTAGTTTGCCTCCAGCCCTCAGAGCACGTTGCTCATTTGGAGCTGTCCTTGGTGCTGCAACTACCGGCCTGTCTTGCTCCATCATGCTACATGGGTTCATTGCACGGACCAGGACAGGACACCATGGTTTCCTATTACTTCTATGTGGCCTTTGGCTGCATATAGCAGAACATTTCCCCCATGTAAACCCATGCTACTATGTTGGGGGCCTGTGTAGGAGCATGGTAGTTTTGTAAGGGGAAAAGGCAAATTCCTAGGGGAAAATGAAGCCATTGGATCTCAATAAACTCAAACGGTAGTGTCTCACCTTGGTAATGGGTGCTTCAATAGTCATGGAATGTATTCTGGCCATAGAGGAATGCCTTCTCTGTGAACTGCCTATGCAGAATAAAGTGGAATAAAATTAGTGGACAATGTTAACCTATCACAAGCTTCTTCTTCTTTGAACCAGAAGGTCTCCAAAGCAGCTTACATGCAATAGAAACAATATTAACATATTATTAACATTTAGCATCAAAGGCACATAAAGTACATAACACACACACATCCAGCAACCTACAGCATAAAAGCTTGTATGTTTTACTGCCTTCCTCAAAGAGGCTGCATTGAGATGTCATGATAACCCAATTTTTCCATTTTCTTCAACATATATATTATTATTTTTTCAAAATTGCAGGGGGTTGGACTAGATGATCCTCAGGATCCCTTCCAACTCTACAATTCTATGAGATAGTGGGATGTAAACAAATAAAATGATATTAATACTAATAATGACAAATTGGACCTTCGATAAAAGTTTGCATTCGGTTCCACTTGCTCCATTCCATTTTGTGCCCCCTCTGTTGTATTTCTTCCTGCAAGCAGCCAGTAAGGAGACTGAATTGGGCTGTTCTTGGGGTTTCTCTTACCCGAAAGATCCCCTCTCCAGATGTTACTGTACTTCTGCAAATCTTGGGGTTCTCTCAAGCTTGTTGAGACTCCTCTTTTCTACAGGGGTGGTTCAGTTTTCGCTACATAAGCAACGGCACGATCCCCCCGCACATTGGAAACAGATGGACTCATGTAACATACCATCACTACCCCGAGAAGTGGTCGATCTGACATCTAAAGAGCCTTTCCGCCTGTCTTTGTGCCTGCAGCTCTGGATATCTGTAGAGGCAAGAAATTGCAGCTGTGAAAAAGGACGTCCCCATTTAGGAAGGTGAGAGAGCCTTCTCTGATGATGATAATGATGATGATGATGATAATGAAGATGATAATATTTATACCCTGCCCATCTGGCAGGGTTTCCCCAGCCACTCTGGGCGGCTTCCAACAGAATATTAAAAATACATTAAAACATCAGTCATTAAAAACTTCCCTAAAAAGGGCTGCTTTTGCAAGGAGTTCCAGAGCAGTACGTTTCTGAGCACAATTCAAAGTGTTGGTGGTGACCTTTAAAGCTCTAAACGGCCTCGGCCCAGTATACCTGAAGGAGCGTCTCCACCCCTGTTGTTCTGCCCTAGACAAGTAAGATAGTTCTTTATTTCCTTGGCATCTGCTGGGAAGGTGTTCCACAGGACGGGCGCCACTACCAAGAAGGCCCTCTGCCTGCTTCCCTGCAACCTCACTTCTCACAGGGAGGGAACCACCAGAAGGCCCTCAGCGCTGGACCTCAGTGTCCGGGCAGAACAACGGGGGTGGAGATGCTCCTTCAGGTATACTGGGCCGAGGCCGTTTAGGGCTTTAAAGGTCATCACTGACACTTTGAATTGTGCTCAGAAACATACTGCTCTCAGGCTCTGGAACTCCTTGCCAAGGAAGAACTGCCTAGCCCCTACTTCAAACCATATTCTGGGATGCCTCAATGTTACTCCCAACAACGGTTAACGATAAATCAATAAATCCAATTGTTGACAATGAGCTGAACTTTGACAGGGAGCAAAATCTGCTGTTTTGTTCTACCTCAATGCTACAGCAAGTCGTGCCTTGTGGATTCCCAAACACCTGTGGCCGTTGCAAAGGAACCCACGTAAACATGTCCTTGGGAGATTTCCATCCCAGCCACGACAACACTCAAGACTCTGTCCTTGACACATTCAAATCAAGATTTAGGAAGCTGTATCAGCTACTGTTCCCAAGGAGTAGGAAATGAAACTGGAATCTCCTTCTCCTACAAGCCCACTAAACAGTCAAGGTTGCCTTGATTCCTTGTTCGCTTTGAAACACAGCTGCCTGGTGCAGATAGTTGGCCTGTTATTTAGTCTCCTTCCCAGAGAACTGTTTCATTGCTCTGCAAATATTATGGATTGCCTAGTGTGGTGTACTCTGTGCTTGAGTCTGCTTAGCGGAGATGCTCAGTGCCCCCTTCACATGCGGAAATACTAACCTCTGGGGAAGGACTCGCACTTCAGTGGCACCTCATCTGCTCTGCTTGCAGACAGTCATCTCCAAGCATTGCGCGGGGTTGGACTAGATGACTCTCAGGGTCCCTTCCAACTCTACAATTGTGTGATTCTAAGTAGGGCTTAGAAGTCTTTTAGAAAACATCTGAAGGCAGCCCTGTTTAGGAAAGCTTTTATTGTTTAATAGATTATTGTACTTTATCCTGGCTTTTCACACAAGGTGTTTATTTTTAAAGGTAAAGGGACCCCTGACCATTAGGTCCAGTTGCAGACGACTCTGGGGTTGCGGCGCTCATCTCACTTTATTGGCTGAGGGAGCCGGCGTACAGCTTCTGGGTCATGTGGCCAGCAAGACTAAGCCACTTCTGGCGAACCAGAGCAGCGCATGGAAACGCCGTTTACCTTCCTGCCGGAGCGGTACCTATTTATCTACTTGCACTTTGACATGCTTTCGAACTGCTAGGTGGGCAGGAGCTGGTACTGAACAACGGGAGCACACCCCATGGCGGGGATTCAAACCGCCGACCTTCTGGTCAGCAAGTCCTAGGCTCTGTGGTTTAACCCACAGCGCCACCTGCGTCCCCACCTGTGTTTATTTTTATGACCCACCTTATTCCTATTATTTCAAGTTATAATAATAATATAATTTATTATTTATACCCCGCTCATCTGGCTGGATCTCCCCAGCCACTCTGGGCGGCTTCCAACAGAGTATTAAAAACACGATAAAACATCAGTCATTAAAAACGTCCCTAAACAGGGCTGCCTTCAGATGTCTTCTAAAAGTTTGGTAGTTGTTTTTCTCTTTGACATCTGGTGGGAGGGCGTTTCACAGGGCGGGTGCCACTACCGAGAAGGCCCTCTGTCTGCTTCCCTGTAACCTCGCTTCTTGCAGGGAGGGAACTGCCAGAAGGCCCTCGAAGCTGGACCTCTGAGTTGTTTTAAACTGTTTTTATATTTTGTTTTGATGTTGGAACATGCCCTGGAGCCTTGAGGTGAGATTGGGTAAACAACAACAACAACAACAACATGGTAGTAACATGGCCTTCTAGAGTAGGGGTAGAGCACCTCAGGCCTGGGAGCCAAATGTGGCCCTCAGAAGCCCCTATATGGCTCTTGGGAATCTCCCCAGGCCACGCCTCTCACCTCCACACCCGACTCAGCTGCTTTTGCCCTCTACTTTTGCTCAGTTGAAGTGTAGGCAACTGTACACATCTGGGTCACATCTGTTGCTGCATCTGCACTGCCCCCAACCCCACGCAGTAGGCTGATAGGGGAAAGACAGATCGCTCTGGCCAGACGTCTGAACTGATCACTTGTGGGATTTTTTGAAATTAGGTCTAGGGATGAAGGGTGCCAACCCTGACACTATACAACTGCTAAGCCCGTACTTGTTTCAACAAGCATTTGACCTATGTTGGTGTCCTCACCAGCGCTGTGCAAGTGTCTTAGATCAGACAGTGTATTTTCTTTCTGTTTTTAATCATTCCTCTTAACCGCCTCAAGTTAACGCATTTCTAATATGCGTTTCGGGTTATGCCTTTTTATTATGAAGAAATGTCTTGGTGGATGCCAATAGGCTGAGCTGTTGTTATTAAAATGGGAGAGATTTTCTCATAACAAAACCTGCAGTGCCGTACCTGTCTGGGACTCAGCTTGGACACGTTCACAGACCCTTTCAGCCTGCAAGTAAAAAAAAAAAAGGGGGGGGGAGAGAAATTAGCCAGAAAAATAGGATCAACCTTTGGTGCAGGGGTTAGGAACCTTGAGCCTCTGGGCCAAATCTGGCCTGCCAAGGGTTCCCAGTTGGCTCATGGCTCCAGTTCAATCCTGCGACGCAGACCCCTGCACCCAGCAAGATTGAACCCTTCGCTTATCAGCTGGTGAGAGGAGGGTTCAGTCCTAGAGGGTGCTGCTTCACCTGTGGGGAACACAGTGGCGAAACAGACCCCCTCCCTCCGCCCCACAGATCACCTTTGACAGATGGGTGAGACTCTCTACCACATATGGTGGGAGTGTGAAAAGATGAAAAAAAATTGGGATTTAATACATAATGAACTGAAGAAACTTTTTAAGTATACATTCCCAAAAAACCCGGAAGCTTTTCTATTAGGGATCATAGGGGAGGAAGTTAAGGAGGAGGACCATAAATTATTCCAATATGCTACTGCAGCAGCTAGAATACTGGTAGCTCAAAAATGGAAATTACAGGAGACCCCAACGATAATGGAATGGCAGGCTAAATTTTTTGAATATACAGAATTAGCTAAAATGACCTACAGAATTCGAGACCAAAAAGGGACAAAGTTTGAAGAAGAGTGGGGTAAATTTGTGGCATATATAAGATCTAACTGTAGAAGTTTAAATACTACAGCAGGGTTGATATAAATCCTGTGATGTGTATGGAAGGTGAATAAGAATCTACAAGAGAAGACATATATTAAAAAAACCGAAGCGGGAAGGAAGGAAGTCTGGGTGTGAATATACACAGTGTAAATAAGATGACATAAAATGATGACTGTAAAAGATTGTTTTATTTTGTTTTATTTTTGCTTGTGAAAAATTTAATAAAAAGCAATTTAAAAAAAAAAGATAGATGGGTGAGACCGCCCACCTCTAAGTCCCCAGCCATCATCATGACAGAGGTGGGTGACTTCACACACCTGTCGAAGATGGCCTGCAGGGATGGAGGAAGATAAAGAACTGGCCCACAGAGGGCCGAAACATTTCCTCACCCCTCCTATCACGCATTCCCTCCCCGCTTCTAGTTAAGCTGGAATACCTGTTCTGCTTACCTTACTGTTGTCATTGCATGGTCTACTAAGTGACACATAGTGTCTAATTTTTCTGTAAAAGAAAGACAAGCAACGGGACAGATTATATATTTTGGCTTCTTAGATTTCGATTCTCTTAAGAGCTGATTATTTATTTATTTTTAAAAATACATTTTAGCCTAAAATGGCTATCCTAGTTTGGTGGGTTGCAGCAGAGGTGGCTAACCTGTCTTAAGCCAGATGTTGTTGGCTTCCAACTCCTATTAGCCCCAGCTGGAGTGGTCAAAGGTCAGGGATGATGGGAGGCGGAGTCTATGAAGCACCTGGAGAATTCCAGGTGAGCCACCCCAGGTTACAGGAACACTGCAGGAGCAGGAGCCTTGGGGAAGGACCATAGCTCAGTAGCAAAGTATTTGCCTTGGCTACACAAGGTCCCAGGTTCAAGTCCTGGTTTTTCCAAGTAGGGATGGGAAAAGTCTGAAACCCTGGAGAGTCACTGCCCATCCGAGTAGACAAAACTGAGCCAGATGGACTAGTGGTCTGACTCTGCTTTTTGCGTTGGGAGGGAGATGAGAAACCTGGCCAGAGGAAGTCTCATTCTATTGCCTGAGCCTTCACCATGAGGCTACAAACTTTATTTTAAAAAATGGCTAAAGTCCTCAGGATTCCTGATCATGCAATTCATAACAAAGCCATTCCCCGCAATTACGAGTAGTTCGTTTTAAGACGACAACGACAATATCAATATTCAGTTTTGATTTTGAGGCTTACCCTCCCTGTCCAATGACAGGTATGATCTTCACATTTTGTTGTATACTCTCTCCATTTTTCTTCTTAGTGTAGTAGGTTCCTTGCCATTCCTGCAGATGGGAATCAAAGTCAAGTAAAGAGGACGTTCGACTTAGGAGCTCACGGACAAATCCTCCCACGTTTCTCTCTCTTTCTCATTAAAACTATTTTCACATAAGACTTCAGATTTGTGCCTTTAGGCCCCATCTGCACAATACATTTAAAGCAACTTAATACCACATAAAAAGAATCTGGGGAGCTGTAGGCTGTTAGAGGTGCTGAGAGATGTTAGTAGAGCCCTGTTCCCCTCATGGAGCTATGATTCCCAGAGTTCCCTGAGAAGAGGGGTTGACTTACTGAACTCGAAGTATGGGTACCCCCAACAAAAATTTAAAATTGGGCAAAATATTTGGAGTTTATGGTATGTATTGGTATAATTCGGAATAACTAATGTGATATAATTGGTTTGTTAAATGGAAATTTAATAAAAATTATTTTTTTTAGAAAAAGAGAGAAGAGGGGTTGACTGTTTAGCAACAACATCCTTATCAAACCACAGTTCCCATGATTTTTGGGGGGAGGCCATGACTGTTTAAAGTGGTATGATACTGTTTTAAATGTACAGGGCAGATGGGGCCTTTGGTTATTATTTTTAATGCCTCTAAAAGCAACTGTGCCTCCACCCACATCGTTTATTCCGGACACTGATGTCCAGCTCCAAGGGCCTTCTGGTGGTTCCCTCACTGTGAGAAGTGAGGTTACAGGGAACCAGGCAGAAGGCCTTCTCTGTAGTGGCACCCACCCTGTGGAACGCCCTCCCAGCAGATCTCAAACAGATAAACAGCTATGTGATTTTTAAAAGACATCAGGGAAGTTTTTAGGCTCTGATGTTGTGTTGTGCTTTTGCTATTTCTTTGCTGGGAGCTACCCAGAGTGCCTGGGGCAACCCAGTCAAGATGGGCGGCAAGCAAATCAACCAACAAATAACTAGCTCCACAGTGAGCCGCTCTTATGGGATGGGATAATCTGTAATTTTCGGTTCCTCTCCGTTTTCCAATCTGAAGTTCAGTTCCCCACATTTCCATTCCAGTTTGTCAGGAGATCAAGGGCTCTGAAGCAAGAGGGGAAGGAAGGCTTTTCTTGCCTTAAAGGTAAAGGGACCCCTGACCATTAGGTCCAGTCGTGACCGACTCTGGGGTTGCGGCGCTCATCTCGCTTTATTGGCCGAGGAAGCCGGCGTACAGCTTCCAGGTCATGCGGCCAGCATGACTAAGCCGCTTCTGGCGAACCAGAGCAGCGCACAGAAACGCCGTTGACCTTCCCGCCGGAGTGGTACCTATTTATCTACTTGCACTTTGACGTGCTTTCAAACTGCTAGGTTGGCAGGAGCAGGGACCGAGCAACGGGAGCTCACCCCGTCGCGGGGATTCGAACCGCCGACCTTCTGATCGGCAAGTCCTGGGCTCTGTGGTTTAACCCACAGCGCCACATTTTCTTGCCTTAGAAGTGCTGATATCAGGACAAACCCACAGAGGCCTCCAGCCTGAGGATGTGGAACTGCCTTCCTTAGACTCGGAAGGACTCCATTGCAGAAGGCCCACCCTGCAAGCCCAGTGGCTCCCCAGGGCTAGTAGTTCAGCTGATGTGACTTATGTATTGGGCTCAGTCTCTTTTCCTTGCTGAAGCAACGTCAGAGTTATATGTTGCTCTTCTAACACATCTTGAGCCCTGAACCCAGTCTGAGCTCTGCTGTACCTTGAATCTGCCACAACCTTGCACTGAAGCCAGCCTGAATCTCTTATTGCCTCACCTCACAAAGAGACTTTTTTTTGTCCGAGACCCAGTCTGAACCCCACAGCATGGCAGGGGGCAGGGGGATGAGGAAAGGGTTAAGGTTAGGGTTGTCTCCCTGCCTGTCCTAGCTATTCCTTTCTTTAAAAAGAAAAGTAAAGGGAGACTGCTAAAAAGAAAAGTAAAGGGAGACTGCTAAAAAGAAAAGTAAAGGGAGACTGCTAAAAAGAAAAGTAAAGGGAGACTGCTAAAACACCAAGCAGCACACTTAATTTGGCCCTAAGTCTGAATCGTGGCCCCACAAAAAAAGGTCCACATATATTTAAAGAAAGCTTGAATTTTATGACCAAGGAGAGGTCGCTACCATGACCCGATCTGAGCACGTCAAACAGCCATGCTCACCGATTTCGCGCGCAGATTTGCCAATTTCACCCCAGATAATCGCATCTGAGCTTTGTGACAAGAGGCACAGGCAAAGCAGCTGCTGGTGGAAGGATTCCATGGGCAACCCGCCACATCAAAAAAGTCATTTATCATGAGTGCCACAATCCTAATAAGCATTCATAGACCTCTTTTGAGGGTTCTGGCCCCTTTATGTCCACAGAAGCACAACCACTCAAGCCTTTATTACTGGCGCGCTATTGCTACAAGCACAAGGCCTGGTGTGCACATTTATACCAGTCACGCTGTGCATCAGCAGTTGGAAACCTCCAGCCCTCCAGATGTTATATGATTCCTACTCGCATTCGCCTGTGCCAGCACAACCAATGGTCAGGGCGAATGGGTGCTGTAGTCCCAACAAATATTTGGAGGGCCACAGGTGTGAATGTTCTTTTGCACCAGGCCAAGCCTCCCTCGTCCTTCGTCTGGACCTTTTAAACTCAGCTTTTAGGCCTGCTTTAGCTTTCATGAGTTTTATTCTCTGCTTCCTCTACTTGGTTGGAGTTTTATTTCTCTCTCTGCTTGGTGTTTACCTGTGACAGGGCCTTTTCAGTGGCAGTTCCCCATTTGTGGAACTGGTGGTGTCTGCCTGCCTCCCTCATTACTGACTTTCAGGATAAATTTAAAAATACAGTCAAACCTCAGTTCCTGAACAGCTCCGTTTTGGAACGTTTCGACTCCTGAACGCCAAAAACCCGGAAGTAAATGTTTCGGTTTTCGAAAGTTTTTGGGAAGTCGAACGTCCAATGCTGCTTTCACTTGAACTAATCTTGCAACTAATCAGAAGCTGCACCTCAGCTGTTGAACGTTTTGGAAGCCGAACGGGCTTCTGGAACAGATTACGTTCGACAACTGAGGTTTGACTGTATTCTTGCTTTATATGGGCATTTGATACCTGAAAAACATTGTTCCTGGCATTTCTGAGATCACTTTTTAGAATGTTTAAAACTGTTTTTATTTTTAAAAACCCTCTATTGTTGATGTATTTGCCACTCTGCATCCTGGGAACTGTTAGGATATCTCCTCCCCTCACAGAGCTACAGTTGGTTCCCTGGGAAGACGGATTGATTCTGAAAGCACTCGAAATGTTGCTTTGTGAGGAGAAAACGGGTGACCTGACAATTCTCAGCACCCTGAACGAACGACAGCTCCCAGGATTCCATGGGGGGGGGCAGCCATGACTGATTAAAGTGGTATGCTACTTCTTTAAAGGTATAACGCAGATGGGGCCTAACATAAGCTGAACAACAAACAAACAAACAAATGAAGTTGCTTTAAGATCATGCTGTATTTTTTCCTTGTTGTAAAATTAGTTATTTTAACCTGAAAAGATAATTTCCTTGTTTCTGGAGGCGGTGTATTAACCACGTAAACAAATAAAACGAGTTGTAATCAAATGCAATTTCAGTTGGTGCAAAAACACCTGCCATTTTAGCTCTCCCCCACCCCCACTTGACATATTTGAAAGTCCTCCTGGGAACGCTGTGGCACACGTTCACGGCCAGATGCAAACGGCAACCACAGCGTTTCCTTTCCAGATTGGGCTTTTGATGCAGGCACACCATGACTCATTTCTCTCTTGCTTCCACTCCTGCATGCATTAATGTCCGTAGGGCCTCTGATTCACTGCAGCATCTTCATCGAATGCAGCGTAAACGGCTTGGGACTTCTGAACGTGGCACCCACCGCCGCCCATTCATCTCACCTGACTCACACAGGGCGGCATGTAAGCTGTGACGTTCGCATGTCTTTGAAGCGGCAACCCATCTGCCAGCCTTTCGTGCCCACACAGAAACGGCTTATCTCCCTCCTTTGTGGCTACTTAAACTTTGTTTGGTGTCCTAGGAGGGGCAAGGCTGTCTCTAAGGGAACGTCCCACATACCTATCGTTTCAGAGGATGAATGCTCTGTTCGCATGTTGGAAGGCGCAGGAGAGGCCGGCGCAATCATTTGCACTTGGTTGAACCTGTTGAGTTGTCTAGGGCGCAATCTGCACCGTGCATTTACAGCAACAGTATACCACTTCAGTGTACCTGAAGGAGCGTCTCCACCCCCATCGTCCAGCCTGGACACTGAGGTCCAGCTCCAAGGGCCTTCTGGCAGTTCCCTCCCTGCGAGAAGTGATGTTACAGGGAACCAGGCAGAAGAGGGCCTTCTCGGTAGTGGTGCCTGCCCTGTGGAACGCCCTCCCATTAGATATCAAGGAAATAAGCAACTATCCTACTTTTAAAAGACATCTGCAGGCAGCCCTGTTTAGGGAAGTTTTTAATGTTTAATGCTGTATTGGGTTTTTAATATTCGATTGGGAGCTGCCCAGAGTGGCTGGGGAAACCCAGCCAGCTGGGCGAGGTATAAATAATAGAAATAACATTAGAAACACTGTAAAAAACAAGGGAATAGGTTTATCTAAAACAAAAGGCAATGTTAAATTTAGAATTGTGGATAGAAGATTAGAAAATGGAGGATTCGCGGATGAGCTGAAGGAAGTCAAAAATATGTATTTGTGACAATATGGAAAATGTATGTTTAAATCTTATATTGGAAATTGAATAAAAATAATTTTAAAAAGATAATAAATAAATAAATAAATAAATAAATAAAGTATTATTAATATTATTACTACTTCTTCAACAGGCATGTATGCTCATCCTATCTTATTTATTTATTGCATTTGCATGCAATGCAGATCAGTTTCCGTGGGACCGTTGCATTTATGTTCCCAGCAGCCTTCCCAAATAGATGGGGCTGAGAGATTGTGACTTCCCAAAGGCCTCAGAGTTAGCTCCGTGACTGAGCAGCCCAGTCCTAAAACACCACCCCGTGAGGTTCACCGCTCAGGTGCCAAACCAAGGCATGCGCTTACCTTTTCTATCTTGATGCAAGAATTAATAGTGTCAAGGAAATCAGCTTTTTTTCATTTGTAGGCACTTCTGTTAGTTCCTTTCCTATTAATTCGCCTTTCTGATAGCCCATCACGGTTTCAAACGCAGGGTTTACGTACTGCGAGATTTAAATAAAGCACTCCAGTCAAACCAAAAGGAAAGGCATGGTCGTCAGCCTGCAGATTTTAAATTTTGTTGTGCATTTCTAAAGCAGTACTTTCTCTATACAAGGGGGGCCATGCCAACTCAGCCTACTGCATCTGGTGTCATATGCAATGTCAGGTCTACAGGGTTGGTACAGGCATGGCTTCAAAGGAACAATAAAAAAACCTAAGGCAGGTCCATTAACTTAAATGGGTCTGATTAGCACTGGATACCAACCGCTGTTCAGTAGCTCTGCAACTTAAGCGCATTTAACTTGTGCACATTCAGTTCTATAACAAATTAAAAAGAGGTGGAAAGGGGGCAGGGGGAAACTTCATTGACAATCCCACCCACCACTGAACCCAATGGGTTTTGACTATACACTATTTTGGCTTTGGGCTCAATCTCCAAAATGTAACCCCAGCATAAATGGTGAGTTTACCGTATTTACAATACAACAACATTGCTATAACACCGTGAACCGGAACTGAGTCACACAAGACCTTGGAACAGCATTTGACACTCGTAAAAGTACCCAGAACAAACCTGTATTACATGGTCTTCACTTGTAATCTCAATGGCTTCTTGACTTTTCTCTAACGCTGTAAAGATTGAATTACAAGCCCTGCAAAGGAAAGAAAGGAGTGGACTCATTAGATTCGAATTTCACGGCTTGCAATTTTGAGGGCTATAAATGACCAAAAAAAAAACCCCCACCACCACCTCAGAGCAATACATTCAAGAGAGATGATTCTGCTTTGAAGAACAGTAGTAGGAAGTTAGACGGGCCGCTTGGCTTTTTGCCAAGCCCAGCAAAAAAGAGAAAGTTGGCCTGTATAGAGGTTAACTTATTTATACAGAAAGAGAGTGTGTGTCATCAGTAAACTCACTGCATTTCAAACTACCAGAGAGCAGGGTATTTGTCCCCAGGGGCTTACACTTTAAAATGTAACATCTGAGAGACAACAGGAAAAAGGGGAAGGAAACAGAGAGAGGGTAAAAGCCTTGGTGAGAACATTTATTCATTTATTTATTTCAGCTCTACCATCCGTTCCCAAACTTTGCCCCTCACTGACCACTTGGAAACTGCTGAGGGTCTCGGCAGACCACGTCGTGATCTTTTCCGCCTGCTGTAACATCCGTAACATGCTGTGCCAGCTGCTGTACGATTCCTAACTGAATCAAGATGGAACTTCTTAACTCTAGGCTCCCACTAACTTCGCTACGAATCCTGTCCTCCCAAGTGCCTTCTCCCCAGCATCATTTCCGACCCATCCTGCTCGCCTTTCGAATGGACCTGGAGGTTCTAATATGGCAGGGTAGCAGATGCTGTGGCTGCTCCTGACATACCATATTTTTCACTCTATAAGACGCACTTTTTCCCTCCTAAAAGGTAAGGGGAAATGTGTGTGCGTCTTATGGAGCGAATGCAGGCTGCGCGGCTGTCCCAGAAGTCAGAACAGCGAGAGGGATCGCTGCGCAGCGCTCCCTCTTGTTGTTCTAGCTTCTGGCTTAGCTCCTCTGTCCCTTCCCCCACCTCCCAGAAAAGCCCGCAAAAGCCGCGCTCCCTTTAAAGAGCCTGGTATGCATACAGGCTCTGCTGAGTTCTCCCTTTAAAGAATATTTATTTTCTTGCTTTCCCCTCTAAAAACTAGGTGCGTCTTATGGAGTGAAAAATACGGCACTTCACAAACAACTTGTGGACTACCGCCACTTCTCCCACCCTAGAAGTCTCCAGAGGAAATATCTCAGCAATAGATCCCCAGAGGAAATCTCTTCCTCTGTTGATAGGAATCGCAGATGGGAATCCACAGCCCTCCTGTGTTACTCGAAACTCTCACAAGACCCTGCCATGACACCTACAGTCCACCTCCTCTGTTGGAGGCAGTGAACCTCTGAACGCCAGTCACTGGGAATCACAAGTGGGGAGACTGTTCTTACGCTCCTGGCCTGCTTGTGGGCTTCCCATAGACATCTGCTTGGACATCATGAATACAGGATGCTAGGTAAAGGTAAAGGACCTCTGGACGGTTAAGTCTAGTCAAAGGCGACTATGGGGGTGTGGCACTCATCTTGCTTTCAGGCCAAGGGAGCCGCTGTTTGTCCACAGACAGCTTTCCAGGTCATGTGGTCAGCATGACTAAACCACTTCTGGAGCAACGGGACACCGTGATGGAAATCAGAGCACATAGATGCTAGACCACGTGGGTCACTGGCTGGATCCAAAAGCCGCCTCTTTCTTTGGGGGAAATGATCTCTTCTTACCAACAGGTTAGCTTCCACACACAAGGGGTTTTTTATTTTCGTTTTAATTATTGAATTTATATACAGCCCTATACCTGGAGGTCTCGGCGGTTCACAGAACAAAATCATAATATAAAATCACAGAATATAATAAATAAAAAGAACAACCCAATAATGCCCCCCCCCCATTTTAAAAGGGCATAGGATGTCGGTCAAATCAACGAAAGGCTTGGTTAAAAAGGAATGTTTCTGCCTGGCGCCTAAAGGTGTATAATGAAGGCACCCGGCGAACTTCCCTGGGGAGAGAATTCCACAGATGGGGAGCCACTGCAGAGAAGGCCCATTCTCATGTTTGCCACCTCCGGACCTCAGGTGGAGGAGGCACAAGAAGAAGGGGCCTCAGAAGATGATCTCAGGGTCTGGGTAGGTTCATATGGAAAGAGGCGGTTCTTGAGGTATTGCGGTCCTGAGCCGTTTAAGGCTTTATAGGTCAAAACCAGCACTTTGAACTTGGGCCCGGAAACTAATTGGTAGCCAGTGCAGTCTAGGATTGGTTTCATATGCTCAAACCATCTTGCTCCGGTTCTCATGCCAAGAAGGATGGCAACATCTGGAATGACACAGTATGCTACACCACTGTATGCTAATGATGTTTAACTTAGGTAAAATTACCTTAGTTTGAATTGTGCCCGCACTTCTCCAAATTCCAGCTGAATGAGTTCGTTGTAACAGGCCATGATGTTGGGATTTTCTACATATCTCTGTTTAAAAAGAAAAAAGTGCAATGTCTGCATTGATTATCTCTAAATAGAGATCTGATTTAGGTAGCAAATTACGTGCAAATAGCCAATGATTTCCTGAGGAAAGACATTCTGCACCCCACACCTGCCCAGATGTCTGCTCAACTATGAACAGGTTCCTGACAAGGGCAGATATACAACACTTACTGGATATGGGATAGAATGACATTGGGCGCATGCGCACACTTGTCATGCTTGTTAATATATTTAGTGGTGTATCAATCAATGCTGGCAGCAGTTACCTAACAAGGCAAACACGTCTACAGAAAATAAGTCCCATTGATCCCAATGAGACTTCCACTTAGGTTCAATGAGCCTATATAGCAGCTGGGGATAGAGAAATCTGCCAATTTTGGTTCCCCAAATTTCTCATTTTTCCCAGTCTTAAATTCAGTTTTCCACATTTATGCAGAAATTTGTGCTTTAGGAGGGGAAATTATCCCAATTAAAATCCAGAAGCATTTTAGTGCAGATTTCTCCTAATAAACCTATTTTTGTTTGCAGCTCTGACTAACAGACATGCTTTTGCAAAGCAACCCCCTCCGATATATTGCATTTTTGTATGCAACTTTTATGCATGCTGGCAGGAGCTCTGAGAGGAAGAACTACTTTTATGGGGAGGGGAATATACTGCAACATTTTGCCGCATGCCCTACTTGTTATTTACTTGGCATATAGGATGGCATGCAAAAAGTTGTCAGCATTCATTTGCTCCAGGTGTCAGCAAACTTTTTCAGCAAGGGGCCAGTCCACTGTCCCTCAGACCTTGTGGGGGGGCTGGATATATTTTGAAAAATAAAAATAAAAAATGAACGAATTCCAATGCCCCACAAATAACCCAGAGATGCATTTTAAATAAAAGCACACATTCTGCTCATGTAAAAACACGCTGATTCCCAGACCGTCCACGGGCCGGATTGAGAAGGCAATTGGGCCGGATCCAGACGGTCTGGGAATCAGTGTGTTTTTACATGAGTAGAATGTGTGCTTTTATTTAAAATGCATCTTTGGGTTATTTGTGGGGCACAGGAATTCATTATCCCCCCCCAAAAAAATATATAGCCCGGCCCCCCACAAGGTCTGAGGGACAGTGGACCAGCCCCCTGCTGGAAAAAGGTTTGCTGACCCCTGTTTATTGCCTCACCTCACACAGAGACTTCCTTTGTCCTAGGCTAAGGTTACCAGATTTTTTTCGATGAATATGGGGACATTTTTCAACTTCAGTCGGAATGCGCTATCCAAGCATGAGAAGGACTTTCTTATCCCAGCGGACATCTAGGGTGGCTTTTATTGTTTTACTCTCTGCATGGTTTGTTTTTATGTACACCACTTCGAAAGGCTAATGATAAAGCAGTATATAAGTGTCTCCTCAGTAAGTGTGTGTGTGTGTGTACAAACACTGTACTTTTCCGTGTATAAGATGAGGGTTTTTTTACTGTAAAATAATGTTTAAAAAGGCAGGGGTGTCTTATACACGGACAGTGCATTGTGGGAGACGGGTGATTGGTTGCAGGCTCGAGCAGGAGCTTGTCAGCGGTGATTTCGTTGGTGATTGGTGGCTGTGTGAAGTGCTTGATTGGATTGGCTGCTGCTGCATTGGGTGGGTGGGTGATTGGACGCCGCGGCAATTGTTGCTTTGGAACGGCTGCCGCTTCTGCGATGCAAGCGATAGTCAGCGTTTGTCAGTCTGGCAAGTGATTTTATGACATGCACCCCCGGTAAAAAAGCTCAACAAGCTTGGCAACCCTCCCTTCAAAAGCTCAACAACTCTGCGCCCTCTGCCCCCATTTTCTTACATTTGAGTCCTCAAAATTAGGGGGAGTGTTATTTGCGGAAAAGTACGGTTCGTCCCAAAGTAGGAGCAAACAGGTATCTCTATTCCTGGGCATTCACAAAATGAATTGAGACTATCAGTATTCAGAGGTCAACTAAATATAGATGGGCTACAAATATCAACTTCAAATGCCATACTTACCCTCGTGAAGCCAGCAGAAATGAAGGGTAATATTGAGGATTCTTCACGATCTGCATGCCTTAAAAGGAGAGGCAGAATGGACAGATGTCAGACATTTATTTTTCCTCCCAGCTAAAAATGTTAGCATCTGCAGTCTGCTGTCAAAGGACACTTTGCAAATAAGGTGCATGAGATGTCTGTCACGGCCCTACTCCAGCAAAGGTCACATAGGCATAACTCCTACTGGATTCCATGGGAACTTCATGTTTTTTAAATCTACATATATATCTAAAAATGCGCAACCTGCTTCCCAGTTATAGCTCCCTTCTGCAAGTCTGAAAGAACATTATTACAACCATAGCTGTAAAAAACCCACATGCTACAAACAGTAAGTGTGATTAGGGTTGTAGGCCACGCTGGTTTTCAGAACTATAGGCTTACAACCACAAACTTTGCATTCAAGTATTATTTTACATGTGAACATAAAAAACATTATGGGAATTCTCATTTACCTCCTCACTACACCAATGATAACAGTGTTTTCGGACGGCTTTCTTGTTCTAATGGACCTTTAAAAACAAGGAGGGAAATCAGAACAATAAATTCCACAATACATCTTGAAGTAAGCACGACAGTGTTTATTTTGTTTCCGTTAACAGATGTTTAAATAAAAAAGCCCCCCAAACTGAATCTTAACTATTGATTGGAACAGCTTGGTTTCCTCCAGATAACTTGGAAAGCAATTCCAATCAGCCCCAGTTAGCACAGCTGTCATAAAAGCCACTAATTCATAATAAAAAGATCAAATATCATCAAAACATAATCACATATTTGAAAATGAGGATTGCTAATTTAAATTTTGGGTGGTGCTGTGGGTTAAACCACAGAGCCTAAGACTTGCTGATCAGAAGGTTGGCAGTTCAAATCCCCGCGACGGGGTGAGCTTTCGTTGCTCAATCCCTGCTCCTGCCAACCTAGCAGTTCGAAAGCACGTAACAGTGCAAGTAGATAAATAGGTACCACTCTGGCGGGAAGGTAAACAGCGTTTCCGTGCACTGCTCTGGTTTGCCAGAAGCGGCTTAGTCATGCTGGCCACATGACCCAGAAGCTGTACTCCAGCTCCCTCGGCCAATAAAGCGAGATGAGCACCGCAACCCCAGAGTCGGCCACAACTGGACCTAATGGTCAGGGGTCCCTTTACCTTTACCTAATTTAAATTTATTTCAACAACAGTTTTAGACTGTTTAACGTTAATATACCCAAACAGCATAGGCAGAAAAAAATCATAATATAAAAATACATTATACTAAGTTAAAGGTGAAGGACCCCTGGACAGTTAAGTCCAGTCAAAGGTGACTATGGGGTTACGGCGCTCATCTCGCTTTCAGACTGAGGGAGCTGGCGTTTGTCTACAGACAGCTTTCTGGGTCACGTGGCCAGCATGACTAAACTGCTTCTGGCGCAACAGAGCACCATGACGGAAACCAGAGTACACGGAAATGCCGTTTACCTTCCCACCGGAGCAGTACCTATTTATCTACTGGAACTGGCATGCTTTCGAACTGCTAGGTTGGCAGGAGCTGGGACAGAACAATGAGAGCTCACCCTGTCACAGGGATTCGAACAGCTGACCTTCTGATCGGCAAGCCCAAGAGGCTCACTGGTTTAGACCACAGCGCCACCCGTGTCCCTTATACTATACTATACTATACTATACTATACTATACTATACTAGTAGTAACACCTCAAATTTAGACCAGTAGCAAATTGGCAACCATTGCAGATCTCTGAGCAGAGGTCTTACTGTATGCTGACAAGGTCTCAGTACTGTCAGGAATCATGTTGCAGCTTCTGGATCAAGCCCAAGGGAAGGCCCACATATAGTGCATTGCAGTAGTCCAGTCTTGAAGGTTATTAAACTTGGAGCTGAAATGTATCAATATATTCCCACACACACACCAAGCACCTAGGGCAGAGCACTTACCTGCATAGAGCTTCTGCATCAAAATATCTTGAATGCCTATGATCAATAATGATGATTTCGTGGTGTTTCTCCAGAAAGCACTCAAGGGCAGATTCCGGCGTCCTGGCAATGTTACACCGAAATCCAGCTTTCTCACATGCCCAGCAGAATCCATTACTCTGGTTGTCTTCTTTGGCAAACACTAGAAGTACCTAGGCTCAAGGAAAAGAGAAGGGGAGTGAGCGTTTTTCATTTTACACAAACACATATATACAGTCGTACCTTGGAAGTCGAATGGAATCCGTTCTGGAAGTCCGTTCGGCTTCCAAAATATTCGAAAACCAAAGAGCAGCTTCTGATTGGCTGCAGGAAGTTCCTGTAGCCAATCGCAAGCTGCGGAAGCCTCGTCAGATGTTCGGCTTCCAAAAATAGTTTGCAATCTGGAACAGTCACCTCCGGGTTTGCGACTTTTGGGAGCCAAAACATTCCAGAACTAAGCTGTTTGACTTCCAAGGTACGACTGTATATCACATCACAGAGAGAGAGAAAGAGGAAAAGAGAGAGCGTAAGCAATTGGAGGATAAAAGATTCACAGGCTTAACTAACTCATTCACAGCTCCAGGATTTCATTGTAAAGTGAGCTACATTTCTTTCCCATCTTTCCTCCAATGAGCTCAAGGTGGCAGACATAGTTCTCCTCCCCATTTTATCTTCACAGCGACCCTGTGAGGTAGGTTAGGCTTAAAAGACAGTGACTGGCCAAGGCTTCGTGGCTCTGTGGGGATTTGAACCCTGGACTTCCAGGTCTTAGTTTTTCCTCGTCTTTCCTTTTATATATCATTTTGTTTCGTTTTATATCTCGCCCTTCATCGTAAGATCTCAGGGCAGTTCACAGAATAAAATACAGGAGGAAAACAAGTAAATAATTAAAAACAAAACAGCAAAACACTAACACACACACCCCTCCCCACAGACACATTGCAAAGGCTGTAGAATATTAATCAGCCATAGATCTGGTTTTCGCCTGGTACTTAAAAATATATAATGAAGGCGCTTTGCGAACCTCCCTGGGAAGAGCATTCTATAAACAGGGAGCCACTACAGAGAAGGCCTGTTCTCCTGTTTCCACCCTCCAGACCTCACGTGGAGGAGGCACACGAAGAAGGGCCTCAGATGATGAAAGCAGAGTCCAGGATGGTTTACTGAGCTGCAAAATTCAGAGAAATGCAAATTCCGAAGGATGGCAGTGTTTTGGTTTGTGGGCTTTTTCTGAAAGTGCAGATAGGGAAGGTTCACCTTTAAATGTTAACTGAGCCGACTTTCTCCTGCACCTATGCCTGCTCTCCACTTTCCCCCTTATAAACCTTCGACATCTAGCAATTGTAATTAAATACGGTCGCTTGTAACACTTCGGTTTACCCTTCTGAGCAATTCCAGGCATTCCAATGGCACTTACCCTTTGGATTAGGTTCAGCGGAATGCCTTTCACTAAATCTCCCCGTTTGTATTTAATGCATAATTTTATAAGAGAGGGACTTCGAATTTATTTAAAGCCCGGCTTCCATTTATAGCTTCCGAGGGCAATTGGGGGGAAAACTCTTTGTAGAAAGAAAACCCCACCCAGAATCATGCTGCACTTTAAGCTATATTTAGTGAAGCAAATTTAGGACAAATCGGATGAAGGAAGAGCATTTTGGTACCCAACCAAATCCCTCCCACCAAGCAGAAACATGGAAGCCTGGGGAGCGCTGCTCTGCAGCAGACTTTTGGCAAAGTTTCTGAATGAACATACACAGCTCAAGAGCAGGTACCGTAACTTGAGAGACTGCCTTATCCCTTTTCTTTGAGAGAGCTTCTCCTGAAAGTTTCAAAAATCTCAGAAGCTCACTCTGCAGCAACTCGGAGAAGGGGCTTTGCTATGGCTGCCCCTGTTTTGCAAAAAAGCATCCCTGTTGAAATATGACAGGCGCCCATGACCGGCACTCACCAGAAACAATCCAAAACATTTTTGTTGTTTGTGTAACAACAACAGCTAGGATTCCCTACACACAAAAACGGAAGGAAGAAGACGTTCACACCAAAGAAGAATGGATAAGGCGATGGATTTTGCAGAACTGGCAAAGTTAACAGTCAGAATAAGAGAATCTAACAAGGACTGTTTTGTGGAAGAATGGAAGCCCTTTTCGAACTATTTAAGGAAATATTATAGTCTAGTGAATTCGCAAGGAGGATTTGAATTACAAAGCAACAGAAGGAATTAGAGAATGCAGTATTAATGTGTTGGTATAAGAAACAGAATGCCATGTGCAGCAGAGGGGAGAAATTAAAATACCATAAAAATGGGGCAGGAAATTGAGAAAATACAAATTTGAATTGTATTGAAGTATATATGTTACATTTTTGAGCAAGAGGCAAGCAAGCAATCGGGTTACAGTGGTGAAGGGTAGTGTGTGGGAAATTGGAGCCAAGGTCTCCTCAGTTTTAGTCTGGTGATCTAACCACTAGCTGCACTGACCACCTGGCCATAATAGCTCAACGTTAGGATAGTTTTCATTTTTACTGTTCCATGCATTGCTATTTGGCCTTGGTCTGTTTGTTGTCATTGTGCCCCGCTATGAGCGCCCTTGGGCAGCATTTGCAGTTTATATACGTGGGAAATAAACAAGATTTTTGGTTGGCAAGTCTTACCTGAAGTTGATCTTGGTGGAGTCTCATAGGCCCAAACTGCACATCTGTTCCCACTGCCTAGAAACAAGAAGATGGGCATTTTAAACAATTCTATACTGCATGTGGGCAGAGAAGAAAAATTTCCATATTTTCCTGGCTGGAAAAGAGAGAGGGAGAGAAAACGCCCCTCATTTCAGAGAAACAGTGTAGGCATTATATGTCAGACCACATATGGGAATTCACCACCAGCGTAGAAATGACAAGGTGACAAATGAACTGATGGATCTCCAAGGCATTTTTATTTGCCATTTCTTGTGGAAAGCTCATGCAAACGTACTCTGCACTCTCAGCAACAGCACTCCACTGTTTGGACGAGAGCTTTCTGAATAGTGACTTCTTTTTTTTATTAAAAAAAGTAAAGGATACACAACCACTTCCAAACAGAGTAAACAAAGAGTTTGATTTACAATTTGGATTTGCTCTTTGATGCTCTGGAGCAGGGCATTTTTTTCAGGAGGGAACACGCTGGAACTCAATTCAGGCACCTCTCAGGTGGGTGCCATCGCCGTTCTAGGAGAAAGCCACTTCCGCCTTAGGAGGAATGCGTTACTTCCGGGTTTTGCAGGCGCTCAAAATGACGTCACGCGCAAGTGCGGAAGCGGCAAATCGCAACCTGCGCATGCGCAGACTCTGGTTGCATTCGCTTCAGGATGCGAATGGGGCTCCGGAACGGATCCCGTTCGCATCCAGAGGTACCACTGTAGTTCCAAAGAAAAAGAAAAACTATTTGCAAGAGCTCCGTTCAAGTCTTGGACCTTGGTAAACATTTTGCACCAAGATGGAATTCACGCTAAGAACAATTTGCTGCTAATAAAATCACGGCTATAAATGGATTTGTGGGGAAGGAAGGGCTGACAGAATATACGCAAAATGGTTTCATCAGGTAATGAGAACCTTTGGTGGCTTATCACATGGTGGGGTTCGAAGAAATAGCACAGTGTGATTTCCCCCCCCCCCTGCTAAAAGGATTCTAATAAATCATTCCATTCTGTTAAAAAAAAAAAAAAGAGCCTGCTAGATCAGACCAGTGGCCCATCTAGTCCATTATCCTGTTCTCACAGTGGCCAACCAGATGACCGGGGAAACCGGCAAGCCGTACTTGAGCACAAGAGCATTTTCCTCTCCTGTGGTTTCTAGCAACTGGTATTCAGGAGCATTACTGCCTCTGACCATAGAGGCAGAACATAGGTATGAGGGTTAGCAGCCCCTGATCATCCACGAATCCGTCAAATTCTCTTTTTAAAGTCAGCCAAGTTGGTGACTATTGCTGCCTCCTACGGGAGTTCCATAGTTTAACTGCCCTTTCTTTTATCTGCCCTGAATCTTCCAATGTTTCAACTTTGTTGGGTGTCCACAAGATGTCTAGCGTTATAAGAGAGGGAGGGAAAAAACCACCATTTTTCCAATCCACGCCACGCATAGTTTTGTTTTACTTTCACACATGATTTTATAAACTTCTTTCGTATCATGTCAATTCTTGCCTTTTCTCTAAACTAAAAAGTCGCAGCCATTGCAACCAGAGGACTGCTCTGTGTAAGAAAGGCAACATGGGGTGGATCTGCCCATCAGGGGGGAACGGACGACCCTATAAATAAGTCAAAAATTAAATTGTTATAACGAAAGGGGAGAAAACCCGCTATGGAAAACCGCATTGAATTTTCCTTTACTCTCCAGCGCCATCTGGTGTTGCATGTTTATAACACATTCAAAATGTTGCTTTTTGACTAAGGTAGCTGAGTCTATGGTCACCCTGAGGGAGCACAATCTACCTCAGGCTGCAAACTGGCCTAGGCTAGGAATATTTGCCTTTTAGCTCTGTTTGAAAACGAAACTGTAGAGAAGTATTTTGGCCTGGCTGTTAACAGATGTCTTTACGCACGCACACACACACATAATGAACAGATTCTGATGACTATGAAAGTGGCATTTTTACAATGTTATTCTTCACAGTAAAACCACACTTTATGATCAGATTTAATCCTCAGCCATCCAGAATTTCTTCCAGTGAGTAATTTTAAAGAGCCAGCAGCCTACCCCACACGCCACATAAAGGCCTTTGAAAATTACATGGTTTCTTCATGGCTCTATTGCTTCGAAGCTCAGTCCTTAAGACTCCTCAGATGCCCTTTAATTTATTACTTTGGATATCACCCATTTAATTTTAAATTTAAACCAAAGCTCCAAAAGAGAAAGGGGAGTGGTGAGATGGGTAGGGAAGTCAGCAAAAGTCACGAGGAAGGAAAAAGGAGAAAAGCATTCACGGGGCTATGCGCACTTTGTATTTAAAATAAAAATCTGCACAAAGGTGACCTCAATTCTGTGGCAAAAGAAAAAAGCATGGATTCTGTTCCTTGTCTAAATTGAGGAAACTAAGCTATTTCTCCTGTTTGGGTGTAATTTACTCTCTTTCATGTGTAAAGCACAAAGTGGTTTGAAGGATGGTCAGGGCTAAGGACAGCGGAGAAATTAGATTCAATTAGCACTGAAAGAAAATTCACAATTTCCAAAACAATGTGAGAACCCAAAATTGGTTTGCACTTCTTTCACATTTACAATGCGATTCTCTAGCCAAGTAACGTTTATGAGAATACATATGCAGGATTTCCATGGGTTTTTTCCCCCAATGAAAGATGTGGAGTGTCGAGAATTGACTTTAAGAGTGGAAAAATTAGTGAAACCGATACTGACACGTTCACTCATTCCTAGTCAGGGTCAACCCTGCAGCATGATGCAGCCTATAGTTGTTGGTCTTTTTAAGGTGCTGGAAACTGCAGATAGTTCCCAAGATCCTTTGGGGGAAGCCATGTGCTTTAAATGTAATTTAAATGTATGGTGTATGGACAGTGAGAGCCTACTTAAGTGCCATAGTTGACAGATGTGGTGTCAGATATGTTGCCAACTGGACAATATAGCAGTGAACTGTAAGAGAAACACAAAGATCTAAAGAGAGACTATGACAGTCATACCTTGGAACTCGAAAGGAATCCGTTCCGGAACTCTGTTCAACTTCCAAAACGTTCAGAAACCAAAGCACGGCTTCCGATTGGCTGCAGGAAGCTCCTGCAGCCAATCGGAAGCTGCGGAGGCCCCGCTGGATTTTCGGGTTCCAAAAGAACGTTTGAAAACCAGAACACTCACTTCCGGGTTTCGATCATTCAGCAGTCAATTTGTTCAGGAGCCAGGGCGTTTGAGATCCAAGGTACGACTGTATTTGTGGCATGGCATCCATTTTGCTTCTATTTATTTTTTATTAAGATTTGTCATAGCCAATGGCTAGCACAATAAAGTTATTTGGATTGAACTTAGCTCTTTAAGGAATTTCCTCTCAGTACTCTGACAAACCTACATTTAAAATCGCAGCAATTGTCACCAGTTATGCTCAAAAAGTTATGCTTAGAAAGCTGGCTTCCAAACCCCTTCCTCCTCTACTCACACAACTATTGCCGAATTCACAGCAAGGCTTTGCAGTACAACAACAACCCCCAAAGAAGTTTTTGTTCAGACGACAACAAAACTCTCCATTTCTTTTATTCCTGCAGAAAGATGAGTTGGATGCTGATCTAAAGGTTGTGAAATGTTTTATTACCCCTGCCTAACACAAGGGGCCTGAGTTAGCCAATTGCCGGTACTTCTATGTGAAAGAGACCGGGAAACAGGAGACACGACTTGACCTAAATGATGTTAACTATGTGATGCTTTAAAACAAAAACAAAAAAACTTGCGTTACCAAATTGGCAAAGTCAGCCAATTTGGCATAAGAATACTGTACTCTTTTGATGCAACGTCGTTTCTGACCAGTGAAATTTTCTGAAATCCTTGTTGCTCTACAATATCAGTCCCCTATCTACAGCAGAACCTCCCCCAAAAACTTATGTATCCGAGTTTATATTTGGTCTGTCTGACATTTGAATTCAACAGTGACTGGTTTTGCAGGCTTGCTCTGGTTTTGCCTTGTTGCTAATTCTTTTCTAAGTTGCCAAGCTGAGCTGGCCTGGTCAATGGGTGGACTTAGCCTGTTGCCTTGAGTCATCTGCAGACTGCCAGTATTATGTGGTAGGGCTGCAATTGCATACCGGAAATTTTGGTTTGTGCAATCAAAGCGGATTAAAGCATTCTGGTGCAACAAATCTACTTTTATTTTTATTTTTAAAAACATGGTTTGTTTGTCTTTTGGTTTTTTTTTTAACTTAGGGAAAATGATGTGTAAACACACTAAACAGTGTGGGACAAACGCCCTCATGGCAATATATGTAACCGTCCTCCACACAAACAAATCAGATGAAATCAGGATGAATGTTCCTTGTTATATAACCGCCTCACAGGCAGATCAGAATGAATGGTCCATAAAGTCTGTGTACGCACCATACCAGGTGCCAGCACACTTTTCCAGCAGGGGGCCATTCCACTGTCTCTCAGACCTTGGGGGGGGGGGCGGACTATATTTGGAAGGGAAAAAATGAACGAATTCCCATGCCCCACAAATAACTCAGAGATGCATTTTAAATAAAAGGACACATTCTACTCATGTCAAAACATGCTGATTCCTGGACCGGCCGCGGGCCGGATTGAGAAGGTGATTGGGCCGGATCCGGGCCCCGGGGCCTTAGTTTGCCTACCCATGCACCATACATTTGAAGCACATGGATTCCTGTATAGAATCCGGGTAACTGTAGTTTACCCCTCACACAGAGCTACAATTCCCAGCACCCTGAACAAGATACAGTTCCTAGGCTTCCTTGGGGGAAGCTAGAAAGGTGCGTTAAATGTATGGTGTGTATGCAAAGGCTGGACATGGTCTAATTTCTGCATAAGCTTTGTGCAAGCAAATAAGAATGAATGGTCAATAAATCTGGAGGAGCCCTAGCTCATGCACCCAAGAGGAGCAACACAAGAAGATACAGAGTTCTGCCGCCCATAGAAGGGATCCCCAGCCCCATGCCAGCTCTAGTTCCTAGAGAAGAGGTGTCTTTGCGTTTCCAAAACTCAACAGTGCACCTTCCGACTCATCCATGTTGCCA